CAAAGGTTTCCCTCAGGTGATCTGAATATTGAAGATATTGATCATCCCTACCTTGCCCAAGATTTATTCCTGGGTGACTTTGTCAAATTATTGTTCCTGGTTTGTATGGTTTTGTACATTGTCTGGCCTGGCTTTGATTTTTCCAGGGGGGACCCTGGGAGAGGTTCAAAAGCAATTGCTTAAGTTAGGGTCAAGCTAATGCTTTCATACCCAACTTCCTTTCTTCAGTACACTTACCTTGAGGATGCTCATTTTCCAGAGCCAGGGAGCTATCCGAAGAAGTGACCTGGAGAGACAACAGAAACAAAGATTTAGCCTATCCTAGGCTCCGTCCTCTATAGTCCAGCATTAGGAGAAGGGCTGGGGAACTAACATCTTCCTTTAAAGTGCTTCCTTTAAAGATCTCATGTAATCTTCATAACAACCCTGAAGTAAATATTACTGTTAGCCTTATTTTCACAGATTAAGAAACTGCGGTTCCAGAAATATTAACTTGCTCAAGGTCACATGGCTGGTAAGGGACGGAACAGGGATTTGAACACAGATCTGTGTGGTTCCAAAGCTTATGTCCTTACATACTATCATGCCCAGTGAGACATTAGGTCTTAAAAGCTGAGACTAGAGAATCTGAGCTTAAGGTTGGCCCCATAAGACTCTCACTGGTCTACTTAATAAAATCACAGACGCCAGAGACAATACTACTTCCCCCCACTCACTCACTAAGCATAACTGTAGGCACTAGAATCCCATTCACACACCTTACCATTGAGAGGGCCAGTCTGGGGAGGATCCCAACAGCTCACTGTCAGAGAGTCAAAGCTTGAATAACTAAGGCATAGATGAGCAGCATAAATGCTCTGAAGTGGAGGACCTGAGTTCTCTTAGCACCTTTGTGAGTGGAAGGCTGCCACAGCCCAGAGGAAGCGGGTTTTCCAAGTTTCCTTGTCAATGACAGCCTGAGATTAGAGTACTTTGAATACACAGAAACCTTTAGAACCATCTCTACGTTTCCTCAAGTGGCAACATTTGGAAATTTCATTGTTATCTCAGAACCCAGGAGGGGTCATCACTTTCATCCATTGGAATCAAGAGTTTGGCTTTATTTGCTTTGGGTAATATCCCCAAACTAACTTAAAGTCAGTCATACTTCACCTTACATAGCTGCTGTAGTAATATGAAGTTAAAGGCCTTGGCTTGAACCTGGTAAGCAGGGTCAAGTTGGCATGGCAGCCCTAAACTTATCTGCCCCAGTGGGCCAGGGTGGGGGCAAGGGAGAGGGGGTGGTGGGGGGAGGGGGATCAGCTCTACCTCTGGGCTGCGTAAGACCATCGACTTGGCCTGGCATTTTGGCAAGGCTATCGGAACAACAGCCTCATCACTTATAAGTGGAAGAGAGGGCTGGCTGTTCAGCAGCAAAGATACACACATGGTATACAACAGTCTTACAAAGATCTATATACAAAGATACAAAACAGCTACTTATACACATTATTGTATCCATCATATAATACATACATACTGTGCTATAGTTATTTTGTTCATTATCGATCCAAACAGATTATAAATTTCTGGAGTTTATCTTATACTTCTTTGTATCCTCCATATCGTCTCACATGTGGTTTTGCATATTGTTTTGTTTTTTAACTTTCAAATTGATACTGATATGAACTAAGTTACAAAGAGAAAAGAGACATCCTGCTACATACATCCATAGTTACACAGATACCTACAGAAGAGAGTCAGACATAACTGAGTATGATTTTATCTTTCTGCCTATTTCTCTACACAGGAGTGGGGATAATTATGTCCATTCACCTCTACATTTATTTCTTTAATTCTCACCTGAGGATATGGTTATTCATTTTTTAGAGAGACAGAAAGGGAGAGAAAGAGAGGGAGACAGGGAGGAAGGGAAAGAAACATTAATTGGCTGCCTCTCGTACGCGCCCCAACCAGGGATTGAACCCATAACCTTCTGATGTACGGGATGACACTCCAACCAACCAAGCCACCTGGCCAGGACTGCACTCTACTTTTAGTAACATAGGGGATCTGAGAAAGTACCATGGTACTACGTAAATTCAAAATATTACTAGAGAGACACAGGCTAGATCTGACACACAGACTCACAATTTCTTTCAAACTGCTGATCCACATTTCCAATTGTTTTTACACAACCACAGATGTTAGACTCCTTGAATGCTTCAGTATTAAACAGAATAGCATCTGTCCCTCCAATCCTATTATCCTTACTGAGGTTTCCATTTTTGTTTTTGGCACTGCTCTCCTCCTAGGTGCTTAAGAACTGTAGTCTTCTTTTTAAAGATTTTATTTATTTATTTTTAGAGAGAAGGGAAGGGAGGGCAAAAGAGAGAGAGAGAAACATCAGTGTATGGTTGCCTCTTGTGTGCCCCCACTGGAGACCTGGCCTGCAACCCAGGCATGTACCCTAGACTGGGAATCTAACTGGCGACCTTTGGTTCACAGGCCAGCACTCAATCCACTGAGCCACACCAGCCAGGGCCAGAACTGTAGTCTTGATTCCTCCAAGAATGAGTTGTGCCAATATGTCTGCTTAGAATTACAGAGCAGGGCATGACCTAAATTTGTCTTGAACATCTGTCAGCTAAGCTGGTATGTCAGAAATGCCTCAAATCCATCTCTCTCCTTTACACTTTCACAGCTTTAGCTTAGGCTTTTACATTTCACTTCTGCAACATTTTCTAAACTGGTCTCCCTGCCCTAAATCTATCTCTTCTTTAATTCTTCTTTCATGCTGTCACCGAGTTCTATGACCAAGCATCTCAGGTTTGGGAGGGACTTTCATCTCTAGCAACTAGGAACTCACTACTTTCTGAAGTAGATCCATCCATTTACAGAAAGCTGGTAAGAACATTCTTAAAGCACATTCACTGCCCTGCTCACAAATCTTCATGGGTTCCCTCATTACAAAACAAAGATCAAACTTAACGAGATATGCATATGCAATACCTTCAACCTGACCTGAGCCTACTTTCCCCATCTTTTCTCCCACGGCGACCAAAATCCAAAACTCCTGCAACATTAAGCCACTGGTTCATCCCCAATTAATCTCAACATACCCCACTTTCTATGCCCTTGCTCACACTGTTTTCTCAAACTGCAATGCCCTCTCTGAGGTTCACAGTAACTTCTCCCTCCCCTATGCTTCCACAGTCCTTTCTTTGCATCCTGATGATAGCATTTGTTAGAGTCTAAACAACAGCTGTCACTGGCTTGCCCTCACCCTTACTCCAGTTAGGCTGAGCATTATCTTTTCTTGAAAAAAAAATACACACACACACACATATTCGAGAGAGAGAGGAAAGGAGAGAGAAAAACACTAATGTGAGGAACATCGATAGATTGCCTCCCAAATGCACCCTGACTGGGGGTTGAACCCACAACCTAGGTATGTGTCCTGACCGGGAATCAAACCCACAGACCTTTGGAGTATGGAACAATGCTCCAACCAACTGCGACATACTGGCCAGGGCATCGCCGAACATTTTCAAAGCAAGGGTTTTCTTTTTTATTCTTTTAAAAACAATTTCTACCCCAAGAACCTAATCCAGTACATAGAGTATAAGGGTTCAATTAGAAAACCTATATAAAAAATACTTTGTAAACCATGATACATTTATAAGTAAAAATTTGTGTGTCATTGTGAATTTATGGAATCAGACCTTTTATCCTTGCTTAAAATTCTCTTTAAGAACTGACTACCTTGCCTGGGTGACCAACTGCAAATCACTTTACTACTTTGGTCTATTTTCTTCTTTATAAGCTGAGGGACATTAGCTCTCTACAGGTCGAGAAAAGATACGGTAAAATAATTACGGTGGGCAGGTAACTGGCGCAAAGAAAGGTGAACCTGCAGCCTGTACACAACTACAGTAACAAATGAAAACCAAGATAGGAAGAATTCCTCCGCCTGACAGAGGAGATATGGTTAAAAACTCTTGGAGAGGGAAGTGAATGGGAAGGATTCGAGTGCTAGAAAAGTCTCCCAAGTGTGAGGGTGGGTGCATAGAGCAGGCAGTCGGCGGCATCTCAGAAAGGATGACAGAGACCTGCCACAATGGTCAATGCCTGCTCGCCAAGAATGAGTTTTGCCAACAGGCCTGCTTAGATTCACAGAGCTGGGCATGACCTCAAACTTACCCAGGGACACAGAGGCCTCTAACCACTGAATGATCCCTTCTTTGGGGAAACCCCACTTTTCAGTCTTATTAAGGGAATATGACCTCGCTGGACACCTTGAGGCAGTAGAAAAGTCTTTCAGGTGTCCCTCCTGCTAGGGATTGCAGGGATCACACTTAAGACAACCAGGCCCAGGTGATAATTGCAAGCGGGCGGGGCGGGGCGGGGGGGCCCCTTGGAACCTCCTGCCTCTCCCAGGAAAGCCAAGTCACAACCTGTGAGGGGCCTAAGGTGCTAAGACGAAAGGAGTCCCGAGATCACTAGGGTGTGTGCGAGGCCCAAGAAGGGAGCTACGTGTCACCTGTCACTACCCATTGGGACTGACAGTACGTCGGACGGAAGGCAGGCACAGCGGCCCTGTCCCAGTAGGTGTGACCCGCAAAGAAGCAGAGAGGCAGGGTCACGGGCAGGACAGACACCCAGCTTCTCGTTTACCAGGCACCAGCCTCCGCCCCTGCCCAGGCCTCCCGGGTCCCTAACGGGGGCCTCGGGCTCCACAGCGCCCCCCGCCGCCCTCCCGCGCTTCTCACCGTCTCCATTGCAGGAGGCGCCCGTTGGGTGCGTCCGCTTTAGGAAGTTGGCCGGTAAGTGGGGGAGGCCTTGCCCCACATCCGGTACTGCGACGCCACTTCCGCCTACGTCAAGACAAATGCCTGCCAAGGGCGGAAGGCGCGGAGTTCGCTTTTCCGGCGCGAACTGACCTGGTAACCGCCCCCCCCCCCTCCGGCCTCTCGGACCTCACGTGTCAGCTGACGGCGAGGGTGACGGGACGGAGCCGCTTGTTATTTAAAATGTTCTTTTTTTATTTGTCGTTTAAAAACAAACTTGGAAGAAGCAAAATCCAAAACTTGCCCTTTGCCTCTTGCAACATAAATTATGTACAGTTCAGAATGATCGCTGATACAAAACATGCCAAGGACAGGGGAGCTGGGGGTGGAGGGAGAGAGGGCGCTTTAAAAAGGGGAATCATTTCATCCGCTGTTACGAAGGACCAACCTTGCTGTACAGGATACACACAACACAAAATAAAGTCTTCACGGGATTCACACTTGTCAGCGATTTATTTTTTAAAAAGGGGGAGGGTCCTGGAGGTGAGGGGAGAAGACTGTAAAGGGGAAAACTGAAAACTGAATATGTGCAAGTGTAAACCAACCCAAAATACAAACATGGGGGGGGAGGAGGGAGGAGGGAATTCTGATGCAATTATACAGGCGGGGTACTTAAAAAAAAAAAAACCAACAACCAAAATTCCAACCTTGTAGCTTGGGTCTGAGTTAGTTTATATAAAAATTAAAAAGTGTATAAGGTTTTTTCACTAAATTCTACAGGACTATTGGATACCTAGCATATGCTTACAAAGTCTGCCCCCTCCCCTTTTCCCAGTCCCAGGGCCCAGGCCCCAACCAGAGCCTGACTTACAGGAGCCAACCTCCCCCTCCCTGTAGCCTAGACCTTTTGCTCTTGGAAAAGGAACATCCAATGGCTTTGGGGGCAGCAGCCCAGTCTCCCCACTGTCTGATTTAATTACAGTGGTTTCTGTGAGGGTGGAGGGATGTCATTCTCTTAACATTTGCAGCTTGAAACAGTTGAGGAAGCAGCTTAAAAAAAAATCTCCCTACCCCCATCAATCCGCAACCCCCCAAATTCAAAAACAAAACAAAAACAAACCTAAAATCACAACAGCGACCGTGCTCCCCCTCCAGCAGGCCCGCCCATCCACCACCAACCACCAAGCCCATCCTTACACTCCAGACATTTGATTCTTGAAAATATTAATTACAAAATGCCCTTTGCCCACAGCCCCTAGGAGAGAACTGCATATAAGCTTCATCTTCATCCCCAAGGCTCCCTACCACACAGGGGTCTGGGGCCTCACCCACCCCCTGATCTACCCCTATCCCAGGAAGAGGTTCAACTGCAGCACAAGCTTGGGCAGAAAGGGGAAGGAAAGGGAGGCAGGGAACCCATCACCCTCTGGCTCCCCCTGGGGCCAGCTCACTTTTGTGCGTTATAACATAGTCCAACTATACAATAGGGGTGGGAATTGCCCAGCCTCTTATACCCCCACCTTACAGCAGTCACAGCCAGGGGGTGGGGAGGAGGGGGTGAGGAAAAGGGCGGTAGGTTGGGTAATGGAGGGGGCCCCCCCACAAGGGGAGCTCCATGTGTCCGCCCCACGCCCCCCTACCATTTATAAACTGGTTTTGTAAAAAGAAAATAGATATATTTATATAGAATATATAAAGCACAAAAATTAGTAGTTTTACATTTGCTCTCCCCGGGGGTTGGGGGAGAGGGGAGGGTTCTCACCTCCAGCCGGCTCCCCCATGCCCCACAAGACTATGTACAATCCCATGTATAAATAGATAAATACCCCCCACCCTCCCCGCGCTGACACTAAGCTCCCCACCCCCACATCACCACCCCTTCCCACCAGACCAGCAGCAGTTTGGTGACTGAGGGAAAAGTGGGAGCTCTGGGCCACACCCTGCCTCACTGGGTATGGGCATGCCACTCAGGGATAGCCCTCACCCTACCACCCACCCACCCCATCCAGGGGCTGGAGGGCAAATGGGCTCATGATGGGGTTGGGAAAACAGGAGGGTGATATCCTGGTCCTAGGTTTAGCACATCCCTCCTGCCCCCATGTCCAGATGGAGAAGGAAGTCCTAGAGCAACTAGGGGCCAGTCATCCCCAATCTTCATCATCATTAGCCTCAACCGCCATCCCATGCCCAGAATTAAAAACAAAGATGGATTTTTTGTTGTTGTTTTTTCTTCCTCCTCCTACCCCCCTTCCACCCACTCAGAAGAGGGCAGTGAGGTGGGGGAGAGGGTTGGGGCAGTAGGGGGCTTGGAGAGGGTCTCACATTTCAAAACAGCAAAAAATCCAACACTTAAATGAGGTAGGTGTGGGTGCGGGGTCTCCTTGCCCGGCTTGCCCGGCTTGCCTGGCTTGCCCTCCTGGGCAGCTGGGCACCTCTTTCCCGTTCATGTTGCATTTGTCAGAGTGGAAAACAAGGAAACAAAACCCATAGAGAGACAGAAACACAGAGGAGAAAGGGAGACAGAGACAGACTGAGAAGGAAGGGGGATGGGGGGTGAGGGTGGGGGCAGGACCCGGCAGGCAGGGCCAGGTGTGGGACCCGGCCTTTGGGATTGTCAAGCTTAGTCAAGTCTCTTTGCAGCCTTGAGTTGGGCCGGAGAGGTCGGTGGGAGCAGCAGGGCTGTGAGGCCCGGCCACACATCCTCCTCCCCCCTCCCTGCTGCCTCCCAGATGCTTCTGGGTAGTTCCCGGCCCATATCCCCCTCAAACCTGAGATGCCCAATGGCTGCTTCTGTCTGGCCCCTCCTGGAGCTGGGGGCAGAGATGCCAGCCTGGGGGCCGGTGGCGGGGAAGAGGGTTGTCCCTGGTGCCCAGGGTGGGCTTGGCCTAGGGCCCTCTGCCCCAGCCTCCTGCTCCAGGGGCTCCGGTCAGCCGGCAGCCCCAGCCCTGGGTCCTGGCTCTGGCCGCTACCTCTCTTCCCCCTCATCCCTTTCAGGGAAGAGGTTGGGGGTGGAGGGACTCCCCTGCCTGGTAGCCTCAAAGCTTTTTAGTTCATCCATTTCCGACAATTCCAGGCTCCACAGTGGCAGGGGATCTTGTGCTGATCGTCCTCAAAGTCAAACTGATAGTCATAGGTCAGCTGTTAAGAGAAGAAGGCAGAATCAGTACTAGCCCCCCAGAGGAAGTGGAGAGGGCAGAGATGATCAATTTGAAGGCAGAACTTGGCTCTGGGGAATGGTAGAGAAGAGAGAGCTGCTTTTCACTCACTCAGGATGCCTCCTCTCACCTCCTCTCCCTTGGGGATTCGCCGGCTGGAGATGATGATGATTTTATCCTCCTTGTCAAATGTCACAACTTCCGCCACACAGTTAGGGGCACAGGAATGATTAATGTACCTAGGCAGTAAGACAGAGTCAGGGGTGCCAGGTGACTGGGTTGGATGATTTTGGCTCCCTGCTGGCTCCCTCCCTGCGTATCCCTCTCAGGGACCCCTAAATCCCTCCTTCCTAATTCCTCTCACCTGGCAGGGCCTCCGGTCAATGTAGCATCAATCACATGCTCGTTGTTTATCCGGAACATGTAGATGCCTCGATTCTAGAAAAGCAAAAGATGCAGAAGGGGCAAGAGCATCAGAGAACGGCGTGGTGTGGCAGTGGGATCAAGCAGCAGACTCAAGCAGTGAGTGGGCTTCATTTCTTATTTTTCCTTTCTCCTGCCTCTCACCTCCTCCTCCCCCCGGTTTTCCTCCTGCTCCCTGGCCCCCATCCTGCCCTTTGCTCCTGGGGTGAGTGTGGACCATGCACCAGCCCCTCTGTCAGCCCATACCTGCTCCTCATAGATTTTCTCCCGTCGGTTGGCCACCTCATTGCGAATGATGGTGCCAATGTACTCAATAACCATTGTGTGCTTTTCTAGGTCCTTAGCTGCATAGAGCCCCAGGCCCTGGATGCGGGAGCGAGCCAGGTACACATTGTTCTTCCACTCAGTGCGCAGCCGCCGGTACTGAGATGACTTGGAGTGCACAAACTGCTTGCTGTACGGGGTGTTAGTCTCGCCTGTGAAGGTGCTCTGATATGCCTTGGACATGCTGGTGCTGTTCAGGGTGTGGGGCCTGGGAGGCGATACAGTGCATGACAAGACAGGTCTTCCTCAGACCAAGCACACACCACCCGCCTCCTCCCTGGGATGTGCAGCATGCCAGTTAGGGGCACGTGCTGCTTGGGAATGGAGTGGAGGCGTCTGGGTCTTGGTTTTGGTGAGGCAACAACTAGCTATGGGGACCCTTCCAACACTCTGGGTGGCACAGAGAGCCCAGGATGGGGGGTGGGGAGTGGAGGGAAGGGAGGCACCAATTCCCCTACACTGAGCCCGCTCTCCCATCTCCCTGCCTTCTATCACCCTCCTGTCAAACCGTACTCAAGGCCATGCTCCTCTGGGAGGAATTCCCCAAGCAGCCCAGGCCTGGAATTTAAGCTCACGGTTTGCTAAAACATCTGAGCCCTACCTCCTGCACACACTGGAAGCCCTGAAAATGGGGGCCATGTCTACCACGTTGGACTGGACTTGAATTAAAACTGGCTCTGAATTCACAGCCGAAAGGTGGTTTCCTTTCCTTTCTTCAGACTATCCCCTTCTCTGATGTAACATTGGGCTCTGTGCAGATGGCTCAGTGCAGGGGAATGACTGCTGCCAGGCAGGATGCCTTTCACCACCCTAGGGCACCGGCCAAATTCTTCCCCATCCCAGAGCAGTGGTTTTCAAACGTTTTTTAACTTTTTTATTTTACAGAAATCTTTTTTTCCCTTATCAAAATGTTATTGGAACTCCAATACATAAACTAGATGAAAACGAAACTCTTCTGGTTGAATTCAATTTGAGGAAGGGGTAAGTTACACACAAGGAGGGCCAAGTTCTGCCCACTCAGTTTGTGTGTTCCAGGGCTTTCTGGGACACACAGAGTTTGAAAACCACTGTTTTAGAGCATCAAGGACTAGGGCTGATGGGGGTAGAGTCAGACACTCTACAACCAAAGGCCTTCACAAAAGCCCTGCTGCCATGAATTCTGCCTCCCTCTACCCAAGGACCAAGGTCGGACTACTGTGGCACACAGAAGGAACAGGAAACCACAAGTCAACAGGTAAGGTTCTGGTCCCAGCTGTGACCTTTGTCTAGTCACTTAACCTTTCTGGGTCTCAGTTTTCTCAGCTGTAAAATGGGGGTCATACCACCTGCCCTACCTACCTCATAAGGTTGTTGTGAGGATCAAATGAGATAATGGATGTGAAAACGCTTTGAAAAAAAAAGTATAAAGTGCTATACAAATTTAAGGTTTTATTATTTTTCTATTATATTTCTAAATATTTACCTTTGAAACCAACTCAGCCTGGGAAAGGGAAGGTGACCCTAGCACCCATGGGAGAATCACAGGCCCCCTGGGAGCAAAACAGGAGAGGGAGGAGGCGACTGGGTCCCTCACATAGTTCATAAAATTTCACCACTGTCTACCCAGAACCTCCCAGAGCCAGCCATTCCCAGGATGCCCAAGGTAAGTCTGTTCTAGACCCCAGGTCAACCCAGGACACCTGAGCAGGTTGGGGAAGGACAAAAGGGATACCCTAGTAATACCTGCATACCCTCTAATCAGGAGGCCTAGAGTGAACCCCGAGTCTCTACAAGGGAATTCTAATCTGTAACCTCAAACCCTCAATTGGCCAGAGGGTCCCTACCAATCCCCACACCCACATCCTTTTGCCCCAGCCCCACAAGCTCACCGTTTGTAGTGTGTGAGGATTTTAGGCTCTGACCGGGCACAACCAGTGGGGTTGATCATGAGTGGTAGCTCCATTAGGGGGTGGCGTCCATAACGAAATAAATAGTTTTGACAGCTCTCCACTCCAGGCAGCTGTGGGCACAAGTCATGCTCACCTTAGCCTGAGCACTTCTGGGGCAGGACCAAAGTTCTCAGTGCCCACTTGGCCCCCAGCCCCCAGCCCTTCCTTACTGATTCAGCTATGCGCAGCACAGCGTGCACCGTCAGCCCGAAGAGCTCCTCGCCTTTCAGATACTCAGGGAAGAGCCGCAGCATGTCAGCCTCTTTTCTCATGGCAGCCACAGGTTCAATGATGCGATTCCACACAGCTAAGAGGCAAGGAAAGAGAGTAACCCTCAGAGGGAACTTTTGCTCAGTAAGCCCAGCCCTAACCTTGATCTGGAGCTACAGTTGCTTCCTGTAGCCTGCATACCTCCCTGTCACTCATGGCCTCTCAGTCCCACTCTCCCTCAACAAGCCACGCTTCCCACCCCCGAGGGGCATCAGAGTGCCTTGTAACATAGAAACAAGAACCCAAGGTCGAGGAGACCCAGCAGAGGTCACGAGCCTTGTGGAGAGCCAAAACAGGCATGCTTTGGTGGTGGGAAGACTTGGGTTCAGGTTCTAGTACTCACCATGGGACCTTACGCCAAATATTTGAATCCCTCTTAAGACTCAGTTCTTTATGTATAACTGGGGCATAATAATAGCACTTACCTCAGAGGATTATATGAACAAAATAATCTATATAATCACCTAGCTTAGTTTGTGGCACATGTCTAAATATTCACTAAAAGTTAACTTCTCTTATTGTTATTTTTATAATTAACACTAAAACTAAGATCAAAAGAATATTGTCCAGAGAACAGTAACCAAAGGGAACGCATGGTTAGGATCAGGTTGGGTGAGCCAGATGATAAGGTCTCAGAACTGTATCCTTTTGTTCCACTGAGGATAGAAAAAGGGGCCAGAATGAAATTAGACAAGCAAAATCTCTTCAATTACAAGGGAATTTAAGGTGAGTTGAGAGAGGTTAAAACATTTTTGGGGGGGGATCTTCAAGAGATCTCCGCCTACCCAAGGTAGAGGAAGGAAGATCAGTCACGAAGACCCTGCAGATCCTTTTTTGACACTGTAAAGGTGATTCCAGGAGAAACCTGCCCAACTCCACATTAGCATTTCCAGGGCCCAGTGCTCACCCTGGGGAGAGGCGTCGATGAAAACCAGGTCCTCCAGGCCCTGCTCGATGACTTTGATTACGAACTCTGGCCGCCCGTTGTTCTCACCGATAGAACAGCGATAGCAGCAGCGGCGGTTGTTGGTGCGGAGGCTCCAGTAGATGCGTGTGGCCTCGTAGCCCACTGGATAAAGGGCAGTGGCACTGTGGAAGTCGGCCATCTGGTGAGGAAGCAGCTGTCCAATGGCGTGGAACACAAGGCCTCCCACCCGGAACATGTGCAGCCGCTCTCCCCGCTGGATGATGCTAGCGATTTGCTTCACCTCATCCCGCTCAATGTAGACCCGCCGGAAGACAGCAAAAGAGCTCAGCTCTTGCTCACAGGGCCCTTTGATCTTATGCATTGGACACAGCATGGTCTTGTCCTTAAAGAACATGCACTTGGCGCGGATGGCGCAGGCAAAATGGTAGACGTTGGGACAACGCATACGATTGCAGCTGCTGGTGGCACCGGTGCGCTGGCACAAGGAGCACTTGGTTAGCAGTCCTCGGTGCAGGGCCACCTCCACATTCATCAGTGCCCCGCCCTGGGTCTCATAGACCTCCGTGGACCACAGGGCACAGTTGAGGTGCACCCACAGGTCCAGGTCCAGGTTCAGCAAGCGCGCGGGCCCATCAGTGGCCCCATCGCCCTCCTCATGACAGAAGCAGCAGCGCCGCATGTCCCGAGGCACCTTGTCAGGTCGCAAGGCTGTGCCAAACTGTTCCATAAACTCTGCCACTTCCCGCTCATCCTCCTGCTGCCCACTGCCCTTTTGGATGGTCAGCAGTAGCCGCAGCCGCTTCCAGCGCACCCCTTTCCACTTCTTGAGCCGAGGGGGCCGGGAATCTTCACCTTCCTCAGGGGGCCGGGCTCGGGGCTTGGGCCGGGCAGACTCAGGGGATGAGGCCAAAGGCAAAGGTGAGGGGACTGGTGGCTCAACTAAGGGTTCAGCTGGGAGTTCAACCAGGGGTTCAGCTGGGGGGCTGGCAGGAGAGGGTGCCAAGGGGGATGGGGGAGGGGAGGGTTCTTCAGGAGGCGGGGCTGAGAGCTGTCGAACGTCCAGATTAGAGACATTGTAGGTGTAGCTGTGTTGGGTGGGTGGCTCTGGGGCAGGGCTCTCCTATGGGAGGGGGGTACAAGCCCTGTATGGTTAGTGCCAGATCCTCGCTTAACTACCCCCCTCCCTTTTCCCACCCAGATCCCACCGTCCCAAAGCCCTCTCTGCTATCTCTGTCCTACCCAGAGACCCATCCCTCTTTCTCCCCCAGACCCACCTGTTTCAGGAGGCTCAAGATGTCTAGCTGGCTCTTGAGAGTATAGCCAGGCAACACTGCATCAAACTGCTTCAGCCAGTCAGGGCCTGCTTCTGGGTTCTTGCCTCCCAGACCCTTTTCCTTCCCACCTGCAGGAAGGAGAGGTTAGAGCCTTCTACCAGAATCATTCCCCTTAGGCCCCAAGGTATTTTCCTGCCACACTCACCAGGGCCCTCAGCTTCCCCCTTCTTAGGCTCAATGCCTGCCCGGGCAGGACTCTCTGGGAACAGCACCTCATAGGAGTTGGGAATCTTCATGCTTAGCAGCTCCGCCACTGCCACCATCACACCATTCAGGTTCTGCCAGAGCAGGGGAGGGGAAGGGAGAGCCGTGTTGGCAGGGTGTGTACAGTGAGCACTATCACCAGCTTGGCAGGGACAAGGACACCTAGAACTCCCCAAGTGGCTGGTCAGTCCAGCCCTTGTGCCTTCCAGCTCTTCTCATGTACTTGCTTTATAGCGGCCTTGCCCAAACTGCTGTGAGCATTAACAGGAGCTTCACAAAAAAGGGGCCTGTGTCAACCAAGTTTAGGAAACGATATGCATTGTATCCACAGCCTGAGAGATCCGTGACACATTAGCAAATTAAAGAAACTGAGGAGTCTTATAGTAAGGAACCTTGTTTTGTTGTTTTAACTGGGATTTCCCCTTTTCATTGACAACAAAACACTGTTAACATTTAAGAAAAAAAGTTTCACCAAACGTGACAGGGACACTCTGTCTTGTCAGACATTATATATGTTGCATATTATATATGTTGCAGAGTATATATGTTGCATTATATACTCTCCTTATCTGTTGACTCGTCTTTACCACAGGACTGTGAACGTCCTGAAGGCAGGGACTCCTCATACTTCATATACTCCAATCTCACAGCCACTAGCCCAGGCTTTCACACACAGTAGGTCCTCAGCACACAGTTCCGAATGGCCGAATTTATCCAGACAAGCTGCAGGGACTGCCCTCCGATAGCATCCCGCAGGTCTGAGGCACCCCCAGGACACACCTTGGCTGCAGCAGCAGAGACTGTCAGCATGACTGACACCTCACTTCCTTTGCCCTTTTCCCAAGCTGTGGCAGGCAGTTTTCCAGGGGCCTCCAGGTCCAGGGCCCCATACGGTTTCGTATCTGGGAAGACTAAAGGAGAGAGGGACTTGTGTAAGCCCCAGCTGCCCCTCTGCCCCAGCTCTGACAACCTGGCCAGGCCTGGTCCATGTGCAGGGTAGCCCCTACCTGGAATGCTGGCCCGAGGAATGATGGGGATGACAGGAGAGAGCGCCCGGTCTTCCTGCTCCCATCGGCCTGAGCCCAGCTGAGGGAAACGAGGTGCTTCCTCCCCCAGGATGCTCTCAGGGGATGAAGCTGGCACAATGCTGTCAGGAGAATCACTGTCGTCATCACTCTCCATCCTGTGGGCCAAAAGTAGACATTTGTAGCTACAGCCCTGCAGATCCCCAATGCCGGCCCCCTAGTCCACTTCCAATGTAGAGATTAGTAGATATAAAGCCTTACTTAAAATCTGCCATTAGCCAAAGAAAAATATGACACAACCTGTCCCCTACCCTCATTCCTCATCCTCATTTCCGGCCCAATCCCCACCTGACATCCTCAGTCTGATTGTGAGGGGGTGTAGGCAAAGCGGCCAGCAGGTCTAGACTCTTCACCTCTGAAGCATCTGAGGGGTAGGCAGGGAGAAGAAAAGTCAGACTGAGGGTCACCAGAGCTGATGGTGTTTTCTCCACCACATTCAGGCCTAACTAGTGTAAGATCCAGCTTAGCTATCATGATCACTGTCTATGCGTCCACCCACCTACCAGTTTGGAGCACATGAGCTATATTTGAGCATTTCCAATGTGCCAGGCCCTGGGCTTAAGGTAGACTCTATAATATTTTAACAACTCCTGCCTCGACTGGTGTGCCTCAGTGGATAGGGTGCTTTTCTGCAAACCGAAAGGTCACCATTTTGATTTCTAGTCAGGGCACATGCCTGCGTTGTGAGCCAGGTCCCCGGCTGAGGGCATGTAAGAGGCAACTGACTGATGTTTCTCTCCCCCTCTTTCGCCCTACCTTCCCCATCTCTAAAACTAAATAAATATTTAAAAAAAACCACAAAAACTTAAGTCCATTAGGTAAGTATTATAAATACCTATTTTACAGTGAGGAAACTCAGGCTCACACAAGTCAATCAAGTTACTGGACTATAGTAACAAGACTACCTGAACACAGGAACCAGGATTCATACCAAGATCTGACAGTAGTTCCATACTCACTAAAGCTGTCTGTTCATGATAAACAAAAGGTTCATTAACTTTCTCCCTGTCATCTACCTCCCTCACTGCCTTGGCTCTAGCTTGCCCAACAAATCATTCTTGAAGAGGCCCTTCCTATCTCAGGCACACATGGCAACATGCAACCATTCCTATCTCAAACTGTATGATAAGGCACAATGACTGGCTTGGACCCGAGCCACCAAATCTACTACAGAAGCCCATTACACTCTTGACTTACCCCTCAGTGTCCCTTCAGTATCCCGGGCAGAGGCAGTGTCCTTGGGGTGCTCCCCCAGCTCTTCAGATGGAGTGACACCATTCACCATCTTCTGCTGCACCGATGGGGGTGGGGTGGGGGGCAGCGACGAGGGTGGTGTCGGCGGGTTACTCAGGTTATTCTGGGGGTGGGGTGGGGTGTTGTGTGCAAGAAGGCATAGGGAGACTGACATAATCTCCTGGCCCCACACTACATCAGCAACTTCCTCAAGTCTTTCATTCCCACCTCCACCTCCCCAAGAACCTCATTATCCCCAAAAGATGTTGTTATTTTCTGACCTTGGTAAGCAGCTGGGAATAGTAGTCAGGGCCAGTGGGCAGCACCCCACTTCCAAAGGCCCCCCTCAGCTGGCACTGTCCATTGATTGGGCAGCCACTGCCAAAGGGAGCAAAGAGGCTAAAATTGGCGGTGATGGTAGGCTCCGTTAGGGGCAGCAGGGACAGCTCCTAGGGGGCAAGATGACAAGGTTGGAAAGCTGCAGCAGGTACATCTCTATCACCGCACAGCTGGGGGCCAGGGTACCCCCATCCTGGGTTGGGACCAGGGGACTGGCTCCTGTGGGTCACCTGTTTTAGCTGTTTCAGCAAGGCCTCGCTGGCCCTGACCCCGTCCTCCTTCCGCAGCTTCTTTCGGGAGCTCACCAACCTGTCGCTTGCCTTCTGTACCCTCTTGGGCTTCGGTGTCAAAGGCTTCCTGGCTGCCGTATCCTAAGCCAGATAAACCCACAATGAAGACTACGGTCCTCCTCAGAGTCCTCACCTCTTCTATTTGACCAAGAGCCGCTCATTCTGCCCCACAGTCCAGGTCCCACTGTATCTGCTCCACGCGGGCTGGAGTACTCACCTCCTTATTGCTCGGGGTACCCTGTAGTTTCTGCTCCAGCCCAGCCAACTTGCTGTCAATGTGCCCGTTGATCTCCGCTCGCAGACCCTCAGGCCCCCGCCCAGTGCTGAGTTGCACATTCTTTGCCCGTAGAAGCTTCTGCAAGAGCAGATGCCCAGCCTCTGAGCGGGGGCCTGCCAGCAGAAGGTGGTTGCTGGTACCTGGTGCCCCTATTGGCTCCCCATTGGCCTCCCTCTTCACCACCTGGGCTCCCAGGGCACACGGCTCTTCCCGAGGCTCCTGCTTGATGCTGAGCTGGGATGGCTCTGGCACTGCCTGTCCATTCACCTGCTCCAGATGCCCAGGTGCCAGGCTGCTCTGCTCCGGCTTCTGGGCTTCTGCTGGGTTGTCTGGGGGATCCCAAGGTCCCAGCCCCTTGCCAAAGAAGGTCTCTGCAAGCTGGGCAGCAGCAGGTGAGACCCTCCCAGGAGGCAGCTCCAAGGGTGGCCCCTGGGGTTTTGGGGTCCCTGGCTGGGTAGGAGGAAGCTGGGCCTCAGAGGGGAGCTGGGAGCTGGGGGATGGTAATTGTGAAGGTCTCTTTGGCTCTTGTGGGCTGGATGGTGGGGGTGTGGGATGGACAGGACCAAGGACTGGTCCAGTTGATAAGGCTCCTTGTGGGGCAGGGAGCCGGGCTGGGCCCTGAGGTCGAAGCCCTGCCCCTAACTCCTGGAGGGGACCTGTCTGCGATCCAGAGAAGCCCCCAAGTTGGGGTTGACGGCCTAGGAGGCCCTGGAGGGAAGAGGGCTGGGTCCCAGGATCCTGATAGGGTGGGGTCTGGCGTACTGCCTGACTCTGCTGTAGCTGCCGCTGCATGAGGAGTGCCTGTAGCTGCTGCTGCTGCTGAGGACTCAAGTGCCGCAACTGTGGGTTTTTGGCCAAAACTCCTTGGAGCTGTGCTCGAAGCTGACCCACTGTGGGCATGACTCCAGCCCCAGGCAGGCCCTGCCCAGATTGGGGGACAGATCCCAGTTTGGCAGACTGTGGCCCTGCATTATTTGACAAGGGCCGCTCTAGTCCAAGGGGCTGTTGTGAGCCCAGAAGGTTCTGAGTCATGGGCCCAGACTGCTCCCCTAAGGAAACAGAGGATTGGGCCAGCAGGTGTGGCATAGAAGAGGCCTCTGAAGATGATCCACTGTTTGGTTGCCCATGGCTTCCCACACCTGCTGTGTGGAGCAAGTTTACTTGCTGCTGCTGCTGCTGCTGCTGCTGCTGCTGTCCTGGGAGCCTCAGAGGTGGCTGCAGCGGCACAGAGTTGGGCTGAGGCTGGGCCTGGGGTTGGACAAGCAGGAGTTGTGAGTCCCCCGAGAGTGAGGGCTTTACTTCCCCTGGTTCAACGGCTACTGCCTCAGGTACAGTCCCTATTGCTCCTGGCCCTCCCTGATGTGTGGAGGGTACCTCAGTGGCCTCTGGAGGAAGAGCGGTCTCTACAATGCTTTGCTCCTTGCCTGCCAGGAGAAGGGTTGGGCCCAGGGCTCCAGGGCTAGAAAAGTGTTGCAGAGGCTTGGCTGGCATTCCAGGACCAAGTGTCACCTGCTGCTGCTGCTGTTGCTGCTGCTGTTGCTGCTGCTGCTGCTGCTGAGGAGACAGTAAAGTTCGACTTGGATTTAAGAGGCCTATCTGCTGCTGCTGTTGCTGCTGCTGTTGTAGCTGCTGCTGCTGCTGCTGTTGTAGCTGCTGCTGCTGCTGCTGCTGTAGCTGCTGCTGCTGCTGTAGCTGTTGCTGCTGCTGTAGCTGCTGCTGCTGCTGCTGTAGCTGCTGCTGCTGCTGCTGTAGCTGCTGCTGCTGTTGTAGCTGCTGCTGCTGCTGCTGTAGCTGCTGCTGTTGCTGTTGTAGCTGCTGTTGTAGTTGCTGTTGCTGTAAGGACGACATTGGCTGAGAGCTAAGTTTGGGCTGCCCACTATGTGGCAACAGACCCTGCTGAAGATGAGAAAGTCCTGCCATGGATCCCTGCTGTTGGTGCTGCTGTTGCTGTTGCTGCTGCTGCTGCTGCTGCTGCTGCTGCTGCTGGGCTGTGACCAGCCGGTGTCCCATAGGGCCCTGATTCTGCTGTGCCAACTGAGGGGAATTCGGCACCCGGGACTGGGTCAGAAGCACCTGCCTGTGAGGACCTTGGGAGCCCAAAGCTCCAGGATGCTGTTGCTGCTGCTGCTGCTGTTGCTGCTGCTGCAACACTGCTACCTGGGCAGGGCCCAGCATGCCCTGGGGCCCCTGGGGTGGTTGAGGGGACAGCTGCTGGACCAAGAGGCCCTGATGGCTGCTGGAAGGCAGAAGCCCCTGGGATTTGGTACCCAGAGCCTGGTTTGCCTGTACCCCTGGGCCCTGCTGCTGTTGTTGAACTGCCACCTGTCCTAGGAGGTGCTGCTGCTGCTGCTGCTGCTGCTGAAGTTTCTGGGCAAGTTGCATGCGCTGTTGCTGCAGCTGCAGCTGCCTTTCCTGCAAAAGTCTCGAGTCAGTTCCCAGGCCACGAAGAGCAAGATTGCCAGGAAAAAAGCCCCCTGAGGGGCCAGCTAGGGCTCCAGCCCCACCAGAATGTTGCTGTTGCTGCTGTTGGGCCAGGGTGGTGTTGAGGAAGGGCCCGCCAGGCTGGCCAGGTAGTGCCATGCCCCCTGGGGGCAGGCGAAGACTTGCAGCTTGCCCGCCGGGGGGCCCCTGTGGTGGCTGCAGCGCATGGCCAGGGAGCAGCTGACCAGGGAGCTTGGTGAGTAGCCGAGGACTCTGGGAAGGGCTAAGGGCCAACACGGCTGAATGTTGCTGTTGCTGCTGCTGCTGCTGCTGTTGCTGCTGCTTATTCCGATATTCTGCCATTAGATTCGTGTGCTCCTTCTGCTGCTTCCGGACCTAACAGGCAAGGGTTGGGGACGTTAGCCTTGAGTCTGCCCACCCATACCATCCCTCTTCCAGGCCCCTAGTTGCTAGGCTGAAGTCTGCTCTCCCCACCTGATCCAGCTGTTTCTGGATCTTGCTCTGCTGCTCTGTAACGAGCTTGAGCTTCTCAGCATCAGCCTCTGGGAACTCCCGGCCAGCCTTTTTGGCAGTACGCTGCTTGGCACATAGAGCCTTCCGGGACTTGCGGTGCACACCAATCTGCTCCTCTAACACCTTCAGCTGCATCTGTAGGAGCTGTTGGGTATGGAACAGCCACTCCTCATACTGCCGCTGGTCAGCCTCATCTGGAAAAGAAAGCTGGGTGTCAGTACCTACAAATGGTGATCCCAATTCCTCTTCCTTCATCTGCCCCCAGCCACTCTCTTGTAGGCTCCTCCCCATCCCCATACTCACTGATCACTCCCTGGGCAAAAGTGGGTGGATTGGGACGAGCCTGGGAGGGATCACTGGCATTCCGCTCCTGCAGTGAGAGAGATTGCTAAAGGGCCATCGTTCCATACCAGCCCCTAAGAAGGGTAGCCTGATGGCATGAGACATAAGTTTTTACTCCCATCTGACCATTTACCTGGCTACTCCCAGCTGCCACGTGGTTCTGCAGATCACTGCCGGTCCCCCCTGAGAGCCTCTGGGCTAGCAAGGACACTTGCTGCCTAGAGTTTGCCGAAGCAAAGAGGATGTGTTGGTAATGGCAAAAGTTGAAAGGCAAAGAGATGGAACAAGTAGGGAAGGATAGGAGGAAGGAGAGGGTAAAGACTGGGAAAGGAAAGGGCCAACTCTTATCCAAGTCTTACCTGTTCATACCAGGTGCCACTCCAATGCTGCCCTGAGCCATTACCTTCTTGATGCCTTTCAAAGCTACCATCTTGGCCTTTGCAATGGGATCAATGATATCTTCTGCAGCAAATTTGTCCAGGTCTGGAGAGGGAAGAACCAAATGAGCTAGGGCATTTGGGTCAATGCTCCATTTTATGCCTGCTGTTCCTTACGACACCTTGACCTCTACCAAGCCAAGCAAAACAATGGCATGGCGTGATGGAAAGACCAGTGGACTAGAAGCAGGCAGCCCGGGCAACTCAGATCTATCATGCACAGGACATGTAGTCTTGTTTTTACTTGTACTTGGTAAACATTTGTTAAGCCAATCCATCAATGTTGTTTCGCCTGTTTGAGCCTCAGTTTACTCCTCTATTTGACAAAGATCATGACTCTCTTCTCTGCCTACCTCATGGAGCTATTGAGAAGATCACATATGACAAGAATGTAAGTGCAGTTGACCCTTGAACAACATGGGTTTGAGCCACAGGGGTCCAATTATATACAGACTTTTTTCAATAACATAAATGTATTTTTCTTCATTATGATTTTCTCAATAACATTTTCTTTGTAAGAGTATAGAACATAACTCATAAAACATACCAAATATGTGTTAATTGACTGTTTATGTTAATCAGTAAGGCTTCTGGCCAACAGTAGGCTATTCACAGTTAAGTTTTGGGGGCAGTCAAAAGTTACGGGGGGGGGGAGCCAAAAACCCCGAATTTATTTATAAAAATTGCTTTTTGTTCTTACATGTTTAAACTTCAGTCACCTTCAAAGTACTCTCCATTTGATGGAGAGTACACCTATCGAGAAGTTTTTTCCACTGTTCAAAACAGTTTTTTGAACTATCAATTTTGATGTCTTTTAGTGCTTCTGCCATTTTCTGTTTCACCTCTTCCTCACTGGCAAAACGTTTCCCTTTGAGGACTTTTTTCACCCAGGAAAACAAAAAAAAAGTCACTCAGGGAAAGATGACGTGAATAGGGAGGGTGTGGCATGGGTTGTGCTGTTTTTGGTCAAAAACTGCTAAACACACAGTACAGTGTGGGCAGGTGCACTCATCCAATCACCCATCATGAAATGGGCTAAGGCGTTCAAAGAGTCTTCAAAAATAATTCACTGAAGCCAAACACAGACTCTCATAACAATGCCAGCTGGTACACTGATACAGACGGGTTGCTAGAATGCTCACCTAGTGGGGGAAGCCTGGGGGCTTGCCCTCCAAAAAGATAATTCTGGTTTTTTTGGAGGGTCCCCTTTGTATATGTAGATATGACTACATGGGGGTCAGCACCCCTAACCTCATGCTGTCCAAGGGTTAACTGTTCACTTTATGACTTAGAAAGCACTCTTCAAAAGTACTGTTCTTACAGTAAGTAGTGCAGCCCAAGAACCCAAGATGTAAGCCCTGTAGCAAGGTCCTAGATGTCAGAGCTGTCACGGGCCCGACATGGACCACCTATGGCTCACTCACCCGCCTGTTCAGTATGCCGGGTGAAAAAGGAGACATAAGCTTTAATCTTCCTAAAATCATGTACACTGTATAGTTCTCCACCCCTCAAAAACTTAACTGACTGCCCACTTTCTAAAGGACTAACCAAACTCCCTCCCTTGGTCTTTTGAGGCAGTAACACAATGAAGAGAATCAGAGTCAGGGTTCAAACTCTAGCAGTTAGTAGTGTGATACTGGGCAAGTTACTGAACCTCCATGCCTCAGTTTCCCTTTCTATAATCAAGAATAATCATAGTACCTGTCTAGTAAGTCTGTGATTAGATAATGAATGTAAAGTGTACAATACACTGATTGTAAATTACTCAATAAATACTATTATAATTTGAGGCCTTTTTCAATCTGGCCCCGCTTCTTACCTCTCCAGAATTATGGTAGTACCCCCTCCCTTCCCTCCATACAAAGTCTACTCCAGGCTAACCATTTCACTTAGTCTCCAGATATCCACGACTGGCTTTCCTGTTGTTCCAGGGTCAATTATACTCAAGTCTTTTCACCTACCTGGAGTGCTTTCTCTTGTACCACTTCTATCCAAGTCCTAATCTTTTGGTCTCATGATAGCTACAAAGCCTTTGCTAACCAGGCTTCATGCATTCATCCCATTCAATCACTCAAATATCTGAATGCCTGCTATATGCCAGGCAATGTTCCTCCCTTCTTAAAAGCTACAGTGTTTCTGCCTACATCATCAATGTGGTAACTAGTCAAAGCTTTGTGTCCCATACTATGTCCCTCTGTGTCCCTTAACTATGAATTATCTTAGGCCTGCACCCTCGGTGTCCATTTGTTGGTGACAATGATTACCCTTGAGTAACTAAACCAGTGCCCCCAGTGGAGGTTACCTGTATCTGGGAAGAAGCTGTTAGCCAGCTGCTGCTGCATCGCCAACTGCTGGGGTTTCATGCACATGGAGGGTGGCATGGTACCCATGGGCTTCTGTGCCAGCACTGGCTGTGGGCTCTGCTGGGGCACCAAGCCTGCCTGCCCTCCATGCTGCCCACTTAGCATATGCCCTTGGTTTGACACCATGGCCATGGATGGGGCCAGGCGCTGCTGAAGGGCATGTGCTGGGGGCTGGGTGGGCATCAGTGGTTGGGCTAAGCCTGGTTGTCGGGAACCTCCAAGTCCCAGGGCAAGTTGTTGCTGGGGCCCAGCCAAACTGGAAGAAGAGCCCTCATGCGGCAAAGACATGGCCTGGGCAGGGCCTGGTGTGGATAGTAGAGAGTGCTGCTGTTGCTGCTGCTGCTGGGCAGGCTGCAGCTGTGCTGAAAGCTGCTGCTTCTTCTGCAGCTCCTTCTTCTCATGCTCCAGCAGGTCCTCAATGAGCAGGGGTAACTCACTGGCTACCAGTGAGCTCTCCATCTTGTCCAGCTCATCCCCAGATGCTGCATGTCCACCGGGCAAGGTAAGGGCCCCGCTCTCTATCTCAAACTTTTCCAGCAGGGAGGACCCTCCTGGGCCACTCAGTGGGCTAGGGGTCAGCAGGTGAGCTGGCGGCCCTCCTGAGGCTCCAAAGGGGCCCTTTTCAGCTGTGTGCCCACTGCTGGAAAAGGGTCCTGTGCCCATCCGTGCGTCCCGGCTGCCCATCACACTCTGTCCGGGCTTCAGCCCCAGGCCTAGGGAAGTGGTGGCAGGTGCTGGCTCGACCTTGGGGGTGGTGATGGTGAACTGGCAAGGGGAAGGGTGGCGCCCACCCTCCTCCACCTTGGGCTTCACCTCAGGGAGCACTGGTGCCAGGCGGGGCTCAGATGTATCAGCAGCAGGGACAGGGCGCTCCTCCGGGCCCAGGACCCCTGGCTCTACGCCCTGCAACAGGGCCTCCCGCTCAGCCTTTTCATTGGCTGACTCGACCAGCCTCAGGTGCTCATTGAAGATGTCCTTTTTGTCCCCGGTGTCCAACTCAGGGTCAGTATAGGCCAGAAGGTCAAACTCATCCCCATTGAGCAGGTCATCCAGGTGGGGATCATTGGTCTCCAGGTTTTCCAGGGTGCCCAGCTCATCATCTCCCTTGGCCACATCCACACCCAGGCCCAGGTGAGCAAGCTCCTCGTCATCCTCTAGGGCCTTGTGGGCATCAAAGTCATCATCCAGCTCAGGGTCCTCACAGGGTAACTTCCCAGCTTCCAAGGCCAGCGGAAGGGGGCGGCCAAGCTCAGTGCTCGAGGGAGGCCGGCTTACCAGCTCCAAGCCAGTGGGGAGGGTGGGAGCCTTGGTGTGGGATGCTGGATGGAGGCTATTGTTCAGTTCCGTTGGGGCTGAGGGTTTCTGCGGGGGAAGGCCTGATACTGCCAGACCACGAAGCCCTTCAGGAGCCAGTCGGTGGGAGTCCTCACTCACAGGGTAAAAACGGGGTCTCTGAGGGGCACCCTGACCAGGAAACGGAGTCCCCCCAGGTCCTAGTCCTTTCTGTACATTGTGCCGCAGCTCAATGAACTGGGCAGGGCCAGCTGGACCAGGCACTGGCTCGCCAGGGCCAGGCAGGCGGGTGGGAAGTCCTGCCAAGGGGGAACCTAGGGCCTGGCGGCCAAGTTCAGGCCCAGGAGTTGATGTAAAGCGAGTAGACATGGCAAGTCTCATGGAGTTTGCTGCTGTTGCTTGCTGCTGCTGCTGCCACAGGTGTTGCTGCTGCTGCTGTAAGGGCAGGGACCCAGGATAGGGTGCTCGCTGATAGAAGGCTTGGGAGCCTCCCACCAGTTGCCTGAAAGAATATGCAGTAGTCAGTAACATGACATTGAGATAAAGAAGAACTAGAACATGGGCCTAGGGCAGTAGGGAAGGATAAAACTAATGTGGCAAAGTGGAAGGAATGAAAGAAAACAGTAAATGAGAGAGGAGAAGGATTAGAGAGATAGGTAAATCAGAAATAGTACACAAAGATGGTGAAGTCTGTTCCCTTGGAGAACCCCCTGGAGCCTCACCTGCTATTCACATCCATAGAGGAAGGGGTGGCTGGTGGAGGTGGCCGGGAGAGTCGGTCATCACTGGGGAAAGCCCCGGGCCCTAGGATGGGGCCACCCAGCTTGCTTGGGGGCAGCCCTACAAGGCTGCTCTTATCCTAGGAGAGAGAGAGGTAGTTGAAGATGGGACTACCTTCAGTATCCTGGGCCCGACGCACCTTGCCACCCTACCTACCTGGGTCCCAGTGAAGGGGGTCTGGCCTCGACTCAGCTGCTCAAAGGCAGGGCTGCTGGGCTCAGCACCCCAGCTGCCCGGGGGGCCTACTGCTCCTGCAGCTGCTGCAGCTGTTTCCTTCTCCTGCCGCAGGGTGTTACGCTGGATCTGTTGCCGAATCAGCAGCTCCCGTAGTCGCTGGCGCTGTGCAGAGAAGAGAAGAGGGCTAAGTCTGTCCTACTCCAATTATAGGGATAGCACAGGGACCGTGGAGATATGAGGGCTCAGCTTCACAATGTCTACTGACCTGCCGTTGCTTCTCTAGCTCTGTCTGGCTGAGGCTGGAGACGCCTGGGTCTTGGGTACCTGGAAGTTCAGGTGCCGCCAAAGAGCTGGCCATTCCAGCCCCTGGGTCTTCTCGCTTATCGACTGGAGAGGTGATGCCAACCCGCTGTGAGGCTCCGTGGGGTGGGTAGGAAAGGGACCCATCGGGTGCAGGTGGTGGTAGAACTGACGGGGGGCGCAGCGGGGACAGCCCATAGCCCTCTCCTGTGGACCCCGTGCTGGGTCCCAGGGGGCTACCCGATGGGTGGAAGTTTCCTGTGGCTACTGAGTAGTTTGTGCTTTGAGGCTTGCCCAAAGTAGGGCCGGGCCCAAAATGGCTGTTGATCCCGTGGGGTGGAGGGAGACCAGGCTGAGGGACAGAAGGCTTTAGGGAAGAAGGCTCCCCTACTGCCTGAGGGAAAGTGAAACGCATGGGAGAAGGGGTGCCCACAAACGCACCCGTCCCAGGGGACCGGGCGAAATTGGGGGGCTGCCCACTTGGGACCTTGGCATGGAGCTCACCTGCCGGCCCTGAGGGCAGGGCTGCTGGGAAGCCCCCAGCCCCCAGTGGAGTGTGGGCTAGAGGCCCAGACTTAAAGGCAACTTCAGGGGGCTGGGGTCGGGGTGGCTTATGCAATGGGGCAAATGGGTCACGGGACTGAGGGCGAGAGGGCGGGCGGGAATAAGGGTCAGGGGACTGGAAGCGAGGAGTCACAGGGGATGGGCAGAAAGCCTCAGCAGACAGAGGACGGGGTGTCAGTGGGGACTGGGAGCTGGATTGGGACTGGGGACTAGCAGGCACTCGGGAGAAAGGGTCAGAGGGCAGTGATCGAGGGGGCAGGGCACAGCAGCTCTCAGGGGGTGGGGGTTGGGGGCGAGGGGTCAATGGGGGCTGAGTGTAAGGGTCAGGGTAGGGGCCAGGGCGAAAGATATCCGAGTGGCTAGGGGGAGAAGGGGCCAAACCCTGGGCAGGGGATGGCTCCTGGGGCCTTAGGCCCAAGCCTGGGCTCTGGGGCTCTACCTGAGATGCCCGAGGGGTCAGGGGGGCTTTGAAGACATCAGGTGCCTTTAACTCCAGGCTGCCCAGGTGGGGGCCTGAGGAGGGTGAGTCAACAAAGCCCAGGTTTGGGGGCCCATAGCTAGGAGAGGATGCCCCAAGCTCTTCCTTCTTCACCTCTAGGGCTTTCCGAGACTCCCCAAAAGGTGGGGGTGACAGCAGGGGCTCAGAAGCCTTGCCACCCCCTACCCCAGGGCTCTCAGGCACAGCCAGGTTGTCCAATGAGGGGCAACGGGGTTTGAGAAAGGGGTCGGGTGTGGAGGGCTGGTGTCGGGGAGTGCCAGGAGGGGTAGTGTGGAATTCCCCTGGCTGGCCAGTCCCAGGACGAGATGAGGCGCCCAGCGTTGGGGGCTGTGCGGGGGCCCCAGTTGGACTAGGAAAGGGAGGATAGGTGGGTGGTGCCGTAGGGAAGCGGGGCTCCAGAGTGTAGGCAGGGGCCAGTCCAAAGGGGTCCTGCGAAGGCACTTGGGCAGGCACCTGGGGTGGGAGCTTGAGGAAGAGCTCACCGGGCGAGTCGGGGCCGGGCACTGTGCCCGCCGGCGGCTTCAGGAACCCGTCCGCAGAGGTAGACAAGCCGGCGGGGGTAGTGGGGCTGCCAATGAAAATGGTGGGGGCCGCAGCAGGGGGCGGACTGCCCAGTGCCCCTGGCTGGGGGGGAATGCGGAGATGTAGGGCCGGTCGGTCAGTCTTACGGGCCATGTCGCCCGCCTTGGTCTGTTTGTTGATCTGGCTCTCCGCCTGCTACGGGAGGAGACCAGGCACAGAGCAGTCAGGCTGCTGTGCACAGGACCTACACCCCACCCTCACAGAGGCCCCCCGCCACAGGACATCAGCGGTGCAGCTTGGTGGGGCCCTCACTCACCTTTTGCACCTTGTTGATGCGGTGAGCTGCCCGGTTATCTTTGGCCTTTTGCTGAAGGATAGAGGACAAAGTCTTAAGCCTAGGGCTCAGTCTCATGCCCAGCTCCCAGCCATCATGTCACTCACACTCCCTTCCCAAAAGCTGATCCCTTCTGGCCCAGTTGCTTTAGGAGTAGGGAAGGGGAAGAACTGAAGTGAATTTCCCCAAAACACACCCCCCTAGGTTCCCATGCTGACCCAGGTTTCCTTCTGTCTCACCAGGTAGGGGGCTTTGTCAGCAGCTGGAACTTTCCTCCAGAGCTTCATTATTTGTTTGCAACGGCTAGACCAGTCTGGAGGGCAGAGGGATTGCATGAGGAGGCTTGGCAGGTGGTGTACCTTGCACCCACCATGTTACTGGTTGTCGTCTCCCATGCCCTTGTCCCACAGGTACCTGGGTAATCTTGCTTGAGATTGGGAAAGTTAATGTTGGCATAGAGCACAGGCGAGATGGTGGAGAGTTGGCCCAACTCCTCATCCTTCTCCCAGCGCTGAAGACTCCGCTGGTTATAGGACAGCCCATCGCCCTCACCCTCTGTGGTGGGTGTAGTAGGGGTGGAGGGCGTAGTGCCCCCTGAGCCTGTCCAGGGGCTGTCTGGTTCACCAGGTTCCGGGCTAAAGAAGCCCCCGCGCTCCCTGGGGCGCAGGGGCAGAGAGTCACAGGGGGCAGGGATGCCACACCCCACCCCAGACAAACTGCCCAGAGGAGCCAGGCCCATGCCCTGCCCCAGCAGAAAAGGGCCACTAACAAGGAGGTGGAGAGGAGCAGCAGGAAGTATTGGTACAGCAGCACCCAGGAGTCTGAGAGGTTCCCTCCCTTGGCATGGGCCCAGCTGCAGGGAAGAGACAATGGGGACAGCCCACGAAGGTTAAGCATAGATACCAACCTAGAATCCAAGAATGGGGACTGGCAGAGGCCCGGGTAGGAGTCCATTGGGCTGCTGGAGGGGAGATTGCCCAAAGGAAGTCCACCTATAAGAGGCACAGGATCAGAGAAAGGGAGCAGGTAGCCCATCTAAGGGCAAGTTTGGCCATACCTGCCCACCAGTCTTCAAACCACCCATATCACCTTGAAGAAAGGGCCTCTGCAGTGGTGTGCGGCTGCCATCTAGGCCAGGGGTTCCACAACCCAGATGCTGCTCTCGTTCGGAACCCAGAACATCCTTAAAGAGCTGCTGCAAGTCCTTGGATTCCATCTTGGGCAGCTCTGTGGGGGATTGATGGAGGAGGATGCTGAGGTGGACTGGGGATCTGAGGCAACACCACACACCCACAGGCAGTCATGGCTGGGGAAGGTACCCATTAACTCCCCGCTGTACAGGTGAGAATCCCGCAAGCAGGACCTTCTCCTTCTCCCAAAGAGGACTCTTATAAATGAAAAGTGCAGGTCACAGCCTTACCTTCTGTGGGAATCCTGTCTAAGTCTGAGCTAAGCATCCCCTCTCCTGGGGTGCTTGGTTTCTCGGGGTCACTGGGCACTGGGGATGCCTTTACACCCCCATCCTCAGGACCTGCAATGGCCAGGAGAAACCCATGGGTCAAGGCCAGCATGGAGGTATCACACTGGCCAAACTAAACCACAGCATGGAAGAGTTTCCAGTCTCCAACCCCGATGGTGCTCAAGGGCAGAACAGGTTGACAGGCAAAACTAAGCTAGGACAAAGTCCACCCAACAGCCCTCACCTGGGGTATCAGCTTTGCCTTCAGGGCCACGAGATTCTTCATCTGCAACCTCTGCACCATCATCTCCTATAAGCAACAGTTGCCACTCTAATGAGAGATGCCCTATATCTGACATTCAGAATGTGTCCCCAGCTCAAAAGGCCAGGGCTCTTGGCCTACCCTCAGTTACTAGACACTAGCCCATCCCCCACCAAATTCCCTTACCAGCTCCTAAGCACAGAGGAAAGTTGGATCCCTAAAGACCACCTCCCCCGCCATGACTGACCTTTCTGTAAGGTGGGGAGCTCCTTCCTATCTGAGCCTCCATCCCCCTTGACTTTCGGGGTTCCGAGTGCAAAGCTTGGACGGCCCACTCCAACAGCAAAAAGGGCTTTTCGGCTCAGGTCCAGCAGCTCCTTCCCAAAGAAGGCCTCCTGTGGGAAGAGGCAGGGAGAAATAGGCTTCTACAGGTCCTGCAAGGCAGACAGCCCCACCCCATCCCGCAGCCTTCAGAGCCTAAGGCCCACCTGCAGGTACGCAGGAAACATGTCCTCTAGTTTGCTCTTCTTGCGCCCTCGCCGCTGCTGCTTCTTTTTCTCATCCACATCAGCTAAGCTCTGGTCTATAGAGCCCTCTACTGGCAGGTCAGCAGGCATCGCTAGGGACAGAATAGGGGTTGGCTCCTCTGGGGACACTGAACATGTTGCTTCCAATTTAGCCTAAGGATGTCTTCTGCCTACTCTCTCCCCCAACACCAAATGGGCCCACCACCCTCTCAGTCCTTGGCGTGAGCCACCCCCACAAGCCTCCCTGGCAGTCCCCTGTAGGTCCTATGATCCCCACCTTCTCCCAGGCCCCGCTGGAGCCCTCACCCGTCTCACCCTCGTCGGGCTGCCCATCCCCACTCAACACCTCCGCCTGTGCAGCAGGCCCCTTTTTCACACGTGTGTGGGATTTCCGCTGTCGCACCATGAAGCCACCAATGCCTATGAGGGGGCAGAGCGGAGGCTGAGAAGCTGTTGGGGATCAGGGGAGCCTCCCCACCCCACCCCACCCCATTCCCCATCCCAGGGCCTCACCAGGCCTATAGGGTTTTCGTTTGCGTTTTTTGCTCTCCTCTGTCTCTTCCTTGCCAGGCTCCACGTCGGGGCTGACGGGGCCCTCCAGTTTAATTTCACATTCCATGTGCTCCACACCAGCTGCATATTCAAACAGAGCAGATAAATGGGAGGCAGAGCAGAGGCATGGGCCGTTTAACTTTGTTATCCTGCCACCCAAGAACGGAGAGCCAAGTGCCTTGCCAGAGCCATTTGAACAAGACCGACAGTGGCTTGAGGGTGACTGGGAGTGGCAACGCTGCTCCCATTCAACACCCAGCTCTCACAGGCATACCGCTCCCGCCACTCTGTCGCTCCCTGAGATTCTGCAGCCTAACCTTCACCCTTGAGTAGCTCATCGGTGTCCAGGTCCCCGTCCTTCTTGTCATCAGGACCAAGGGCATCTGAGGGCTCAGAACCTTCCAGCCCAGCCTCTCCTGGGAGGCCAAGCCGTCCTCGCCGCTGGCGCCGCTTGTGTAGGGGTGACATGGTAAGGTTACGCAGGACAGCCATGCCAGTTTCTGTCAGCCACACACCCTCGAAGCGAAAGTACTGGGGCTCTGCACAAAGGGAAGAGCATGTGACCCCCGGGAAACCAGAACTCCAAGTTTCAGCCTAAGTCCCCTGCTGGGACAAAAGCAGTGAGAGAGATACCAAAGTCCAATCTGGGGCTTGAGGGGTGGAGAAGACAGGCCACCACAGGAGGCTAGCGAAGGTCCCAATTCTTCATCCACGACCCAAGGGGATTAAGAAGCTGCTACTGCAGAAGCATGACTTTGCTCATGATTAACCCTAGGCTCACCAAATATATTCTCTACCTGTCTGGGGCTAGGAGTGCCCCTACTTGCTGAATGCCAGAACACAGGGCCCAAGATGCCAGGAGCAACCCCTATTTCATAATGGAAAAGGAGATGGCCCCAGCCCCATCATTGAAGAAACAGAGCAGGTCCTGTGCTCTCTGGTAGCACAGAGGCCATATTTCCTGGTGGAAAGAACTCTGCCTGGGAACTTGAGGCCTTGGTTGCAGTCACTAACTTTGCCACTAACCTACTGGGTGATCTTGAACAAGCTACTGAATCTCCCCAGCTCTTAGTTTCCTCCTCTTCAAATGAGATAAACGCAGGGAGTTGGAGCTGGACTAGACTGTAAGTTCTCTGGCTTTGGCATTCAGAAATTCTGTGACTCACCTGGCTCTTTCACCTTCATAGGCACCAACTCTGGAGGTGCAACAGGAGCTGTGGTGAGAAGGACAAACCAAGGCAGTTTGAGGCCCTGTCTCAGAGCAAGGACACTCGAGCCCTGACTCCTGCTCCCCATCCCCAGCACCTGGTACTCACCAGCAGGCTTTACCACGTAAGGCTGGCAGGAGACACAGTCAAAGCCCTCATCAGCTGCCTGCTCCACATCATCCTCCGTGAAAAGGCTCTCGCAGCCGGCATGCATCCACCTGGGAGAAGGGACACGTAAGGAGACAGACCCAGACATGCAAAGCTGAAAACAAGGGAAAAGGAAGCCAAACAAGGGGAAGGGTGCACCCTCACCGTTCACAATGGCGGCACTGGATCAGAAGGTCCTCTTCCACATATGGGGCATGACAGATAGGGCAGGTCACCAGGCTGGCACAAGGCCCACAGTGTGTGTAACTATTCTGCCATTCACAGTGGAAGCCAGGGGAGGCGGCCCCACACTGCATACATGACACACACCTGGTGGGAGCAGAAAGACAGACCCTCAGCCCCTAACTTACCCAAGGCATCCAGAGGTGCTCGCTGAGAACCATGTGACCAGATGGCTTTCTAAAACAGCCTCTGTCATGCTCTCAACATCACATCCACCCTGACACCTCAGGCCCAGGGCCCCTCTGAAGATCGTGGGTCTCCTTACCACTTGCACTTCCAGCCGCCCTTCGGCACGGTGAGCAGTGGGGGGTCCAAGCAGTACGTGTGGTAGCTAATGTCACAGTCATCACAGAGCAGCAGGCGTGAGGGGTCTGAGGCCTGGCCGCACACCTCACACACGATGCACTCCACGCAACGCCAGCCCTTTAACAGCATCACCTTGGTGATCTGGCGCAGAAGAGGAAATTTCTCAGGGTATGAGGCAGAGGGAAAGGCAAGCTTATATGGGTGCGGCTAGAGGTCTGCCCAGGACAGACCTCCTTTTGAGCATAGAGAGGCTGTGCAGAGCATCCTCACCCCGTATGTTAGGGTTTATAGTTGCATGTGAAAGTTTATTCTTGTATTATTTAATTATTATACTGTTTTCCATACAAACAACTCTAAACCTACTTTTGCCACACCCTGCAGTAACTCTTAAATTTAGGCTCCCAGGGATCTCTGCTGTTCAGAGAACAGCCTGACCTGGTCACTGCCTCATTATGAGAATGGAATGGCAGTCTTTCACTAGTCAAGCCCCCCAAGAAGCTTGCAGATAGATTAGGTTGCATTAACCCCATTTTCTTGAACATTTAAAGCCTGCTTCTGCTCCAAGTTAGGGAATATTAGCATTGGACAAGTTCTAAATTAACATTAATGAAAACATAACCAAATGATTGTGCTTGGGTCAAAAGCACTCTCCTTATAGACCTTTGCATATGGTTTTCCTTTTACATTTTATCTCCAGACTTTATCATGTTTTCTACTAGTAAAGTTCTCACAGTTTCTATGATAGACTGAGTTATATTAGCAAGTCATGGTCTACCACCAACAAACTATAAGGACCACCACCACTTCCAAAATGTTTTTCCCCCAAGATGAGCATGATCGATGACTTCCATGACCAATGGCCCCTTTAAGTAGTGTGGGGCTTAGAATAAGAAATAAGTGACCCCATTCCCCAGCCCAGGCCTCTTGGGCCATGAACTCACCTTGCTGTTGACACAGTATGGATGATAGCACTGTGAACACTGGGAACAGGCAAGGAGGTGGCCCTCTGCCCCCCGGCCAAAGCTGCCACATACCACACACATGTCCTAGGGAAATACACAGAAACCCCAATGTCCACCTAGGTCTCCTCATCCCACTCAGTCCTGACAACCGACTACAACTCTAATCTGAGGGAGGAAGTCAGGGAACCAAAAGCCGTGACATCACACTGTGAGCCACCACAGGACCCTGTTCTTTCTTAACATGCCTTGCTCATCTAATCAGGTAATTTGAACTGAAATAGCCTGACGTAGGTAAAGTTAAGAAGTGAAAAGAAGAGCAGAAGGTTAAAGACTAGTCAGGCTGAGAGTAACACATGTGCCAGTATTCTATCAGCTTTGAGATTATTCAAGTGAAAACATACGTAAGCTCCCTAGAAGATAAACTTCAACAGGGCAGAAACCATTTCTGCCTTTTCACTGCTACATCCCTAGCTCCTAGGTCAGTGCCAAACTCAGAGACCCTCAAGAAAAATTTGATGGATGGACAAACAAATAAACAATATGATTCTGATTCACTGTTTTCTAATTAGCTGAGTAGCAAAGTACGTCCTTGGTTTTCTGCATCTCCTTTCCCACCTAAACACACACACCCAATGTCAATCTGCCAGTCTCACTACTAAGAATGGGACTACACCAGTCACATGTGGTACCTGCATTAGGACAAACTTGTCTGTGTTGGAGAAGAGAACCACAGTATTTTGCATGGTGTCGTCATCATCATCTTCTTCTTCCTTGCTGGGAGAGCTATCGATATCAGCAACCTTATAGGCAGAGAGTTGTGGAAAGTGAGGCAGCTAAATGTGCCCCAACTTAAGCTGCTTTCCTTTTTGGTGTTGGGGGAAAGAGGTGTGAACCCCTGGCTAAATGAAGGCCAGAAGCCAGACTAAGCAGCAGCAGAACACCCCAGCTCCCAAATTGGGCCTTGGCCCAATAGCAGAGATTTCAGAGAAGCCTGGGAGCCTAGTGGACAGAAGGAGCAGAGCCAGACAGGCCCTAGGCTAGCAGGCAGGCAGGCGAGCGTGCAGGGGACTGACAGGATTAAAGGGTGTTTAATCTTGAAGGGACCAGCTGAAGCATGTTTAGGGAATGGGAGGCCTCTCCTTACTACCAGAGTCTCAATGGAAGAAGTGGTTGATTTTAGCCGGGCCCGTCCTCTCCCACGTCCTCCATGTGCTCCTCCACGTGGCCGGCGTCTTCCTGGGAAACTACTGCTGCGACCCTGAACGAGAGAAGTGGGTGATTACAGGGACAAGTAAAGGGCCAGTGTGTTAGGTCTACAGGCTTGGAAGGAAGAGAAGAGACTAATGGATAGAACATGACAGGTAATAAAGGCCAGGAGTCCCAGGCAGGACAGGGGAAAAGCTAGCATACAGATAGCAACGTAAGTAGCTCTTCTCCCCAGAAAAAGTGGCCAGGTGGTACAACTGGTGCGGGGGGAGAGGGGGTGGCGGTGGCAGGGGGAACACTGGCATTCAAGAACTGCATTTCTAGCCATTGCCGGGCCAGTGTAGCTCAATGGATTGCATGCTGGCCTGCAAACCAAAGGGTCACCAGTTTGATTCCTGGTAAGGGCACAAGCCTGGGTTGCGGGCCAAGTCCCCAGTAGGGAGTGCTCAAGAAGCAACCACACATTGACGTTTTTCTCCTTCTCTTTCTCCCTCTTCTCCCCCTCTAAATAAAATCTTAAAAAAAAAAAAAAAAAAAAAAAAAAGGACAGATGTGAGTTTCTAGTCCCGATTCTATTATTGAGCAACTCTATTACTGAGTAACCATGAAGCTGGGCAAGTCACTTCCCACTCTACTTATCAGTATTCTCCTTAATAAAGTAAGAGGATGGACTAAAGGATCTCTGAGTCTAGAATTCAATAAACCATATGGGAAAGTATTAGTGACACAGAACTCTACCTCTGACACTAGCATGAAGTTGACCACATCCCGTGAATAGCCCCTCACCTGTTTAATGCGGGAACGAGCCGGGGAGCTGCGCCGCCTCCCTTTGTCCCCCTCAGCTTTGCTTCCACTGACAGCTGTCCCAGTATCACACAACAGCGAGTCATCAGTCTCTGGCAGAGAGTCAGTACAGAGCCGAAGGGAGCCTTCATCTCGGGCAGGACTAACATCTGTAGATACCCCCAACTCCATAGATAAGGAGCCACCCCCCTCAGGGTCAGGAGAGCCCAGCATGGGCTCCGAACCAGGGAAACTGGCACTGGCATCGCCCTGGCTCAGATTGGAGATCTCATTAACGATGTCAGATTTGATGAGAGCAGGTGGAGTAGGGGCTACTGGTGCATGTGGCTCCTCTTGCTCTTCACAGGGTGAGCCCTGCCCTGTCTGCTTGCATTCTGGGCCATAGACCTCCATAGGGGTCACAGGGGCCAGCTCCTCGGGGTCCAGGAGCACAGGGGAACCCTTAAGTTCACTAGCCAAACTGCCAGGGGTCTGCCCAGCCTCTGGCTGGGAATCAGGAGTGTCAGTCCCATCCAGAGGGGCTGTGTCTTCACCCAGGCCAGAGAAGTCATCCAGGGCTGGGGCAGGGCTGGGCGCAGGGCAGGAAAGGTTCTCCAGGGGGGAGGGGAGAGGACTAGTAGGGCTGGGCTCCAAGGCTGGGCATTCAGGTTCAGAGACTTTCTCAGTCTCCATCTCAGGTGGCTCAGCCTCATCTGAGACCTCCACTGCCTTCTCCATGGGACTCAGTGGGGAGGGGATGGACAGTGGCAGAGCAGGAGGAGAGCACTGGGAAGGAGGGGAGTTCTGGGGAGGCAGGGAACGCTGGAGGAGTGGAGAACACTGAGGGGGAAGGGGCTCCATCAGGATGGGAGAGGTCAGCCCCATTGGGGAGCCTGGAGATGGGGGAAGGATCATAGGGGGCACAGGCTCAGGGTCGGTGCAGTTAGCTTCCGGTGGAGGGCTAATGGGTGTCTCTAGGATGGGGGCTGCCAATGGTGACTCAGGGTCACTGTCCCCCTTGGCACCAAAGGGGTACTCTAACTCCCCCAAAGGAGAGAGGGCTGGTGGAGCTGCAGCTGTGATGATGGGTGAGAGCGGAGGAGGAAGAGAATCTGGAAGGAAAGAGAAAAAGGGGGGGCTCTTAGATGTACCATAAAAAATTAAGACTGTCTGAGAATAAGAAGATATTATCCCCTTACCTGGTGGCATTAGCTGAGGTGACAAGGAAGGCTCCCTAGATGGGGACAACGGCAGCTCCTCAGGCAGAGGTGACAGAGGTGGTTCCCCAGGCTCAGACAGGGCCGGCTCTCCAAGCAAGGGGGATAAGGGTGGCTCCCCAGGTGGGAGGAACAAGGGCAATTCCTCACGTGCAGAGCATAGGCCTGGCTCCTCAAGGGGCTCTTCAGGTTGAGGGGACAGGTGTGGTTCCTTGGGCTGAGGGGACAGATGTAGCTCCTCAGCCTGGGGGGACAGGTGTAGCTCCTCAGGCTGGGGGAACAGGCGTGGTTCCTCAGGCTGGCAAGCCAGGCGCAGCTCCTCAGGCACCAGAGATGGCTGTGGCTCCTCAGGCATGGGGGACAGGTGCAGTTCCTCAGGCTGGGAGGACAGGTGCAGCTCCTCAGGTGCAGGGGTTAGGCACAGTTCCTCAGGCTGGGGCGACATAAGCAGTTCGTCTGGTGCAGGAGACAGGCGCAGCTCTGCAGGCCGGGGGGACAGGTACAGCTCCTTAGGTCGGGGGGACAGGCGCAGCTCCTCAGGCCGGGGGGACAGGCGCAGCTCCTCAGGCCGGGGGGACAGGCGCAGCTCCTCAGGCCGGGGGGACAGGCGCGGGTCCTCAGGCCGGGGGGACAGGCGCGGCTCCTCAGGCCGGGGAGAGAGATGAGGCTCCTCAGGCTGGGGGGAGAGATGAGGCTCCTCGGGCCGGGGGGACAGGCGCGGCTCCTCAGGCGTAGGGGATAGGCGTGGCTCCTCAGGCACTGGGGACAGATGTGGCTCCTCAGGCAGTGGCGACAGGGGGGACTCCTCCAGCGGTGCAGACCTGAGCAAGTCCTCTGGTGGCGGGGAAGCAGGTGAGTCTTCAGGTGGTGGGGATGTGGGTGAATCCTCAGGTGGTGGGGATAGGCGTGAAGCCTCAGGTGGAGGGGAAGTAGGAGACTCCTCAGGTGGTGGGGACAGAGGAGATTCCTCAGGTGGTGGGGACAGGCGTGACAACTCAGGCAAGGGGGATAGGCGTGATACCTCAGGTGGAGGGGACATAGGTGAGTCTTCAGGTGGTGGGGACATGGGTGAGTCCTCAGGAGGTGGGGAAAGGCGTGATGCCTCAGGTGGTGGGGAGAGGGGAGACTCCTCTGGTGGAGGGGACAGCGGTGATTCTTCAAATGGTGGGAACAGACGTGATGCCTCAGGTGGTGGAGACATGGGTGACTCTTCAGGTGGAGGGGACATGGGTGACTCCTCAGGTGGTGGAGACAGGCGAGATGCTTCAGGTGGTGGGGAAGTGGGCAATTCCTCGGGTGGGGGCGACAGGGGAGACTCCTCAAATGGTGGAGACAGGGGTGATGCTTCAGGTGGTGGGGAGAGGGGTGTCTCAAGTGGAGGAGACGGGGGTGACTCCTCTGGTGGAGAAAAGGGCGACTCCTCCAGTGGAGAAAAAGGTGATGGTGATTCAGGTGGGGGAGACAGAGGAGACTCCTCAGGCGGTGGAGAGAGGGGTGATTCCTCAGGCGGTGGGGACAGACGCGATGCCTCAGGCGGCGGGGATGTGGGTGATTCCTCAGGTGGTGGGGACAGGGGTGACTCCTCCGGTGGGGGCAGCAGTGGCATCTCCTCATTTAGGGGGGCCTCCAAATGGGGCTCAAGTTGGGCTCCTGCTCTCCCTGCAGACATAACATACTATGCTCCTACCTAGCTCATCTCTACTCCACAGAAAGTGCAGGGTCTGGAGCAGAGCAGAAACTGTCTCTTGCCACAGAACACAAGGGGATTACCTTCAGGGACCCTCAAACCTTACTCACCTAGTGGTTTGGCTTCACATTGCAGGGGCCCCGGTTCCTTGGGTTGCATAGAGGTCACGTGCCCACCCTTTGGCTGCCCTTGGCATGCAACGTACAGAGCATCGGGCTCATCAGTGGGGGGATCGCCAGGCTCTGGGGGTGAGAATCTGCAGAGGGTACAGGGGAGCAGGCACCGTGGCTCTCATCAGCTATCAACGCCTAGAGAGTGCACTGGGGCTAGGCATGAATGCTATGGATTGTACTGCCCACCTTAGGGCTCCCGTCTCAAAAGTCAGCTTGCTTTAACGCGGCCCCTGACAACCTCAGCACTTCCAATCCCACAACCCCCACTACTCTTCCAGTCCGCACTACTCACCTACAACAGACAGCAGGATGCTGCTCAGTAACGGAACTGATAGGCTGTCCTCCCTGGGCTTTGTGACAGCGGTAACAGATTGAGTAGTTCTCAAACCACTCAGAGTTAGGATTCAGCTCTGCTGAGCCTGCCCCACAGGCCCGGCATACCCGGCATGCCTAGAAGAAGGGAGAAGGCACAACAGGCACTGGTCAGATAGCAGAGACTGGAGAGAAGCATGGAACTTGTCACAACAGAGAAACTCCAGATGTTGTAGGAGGCAGAATTAGAAGACTAAGGCAGGGTCAAGGACCCTCACCTTGCACTTCCAAGAGTGAGCAGGCAGTTCCTCCATAGGTGGTTCTAGGCAGAAGGTATGGTATCCTTTGTCACATGTCTCACAGACCAACATCTTAGAGTCATTCCCAGGTTTCCTGCAGAGACAGGGCATACAACAGGGTCCTCCATGACCTTGTTTTTAATCCTAAACTATGCTTTGTCCAAGGCTTCCCTCCTGCCCTTCCATTCTTACCTGCAGGCTTGGCACACTTTGCATTCAGGGCACTGCCAGCCAGCACGCTTGCGGGCAGTCAGAGCAGTGTCCAGGCAAGCCCCATGATAGTGATGCCCACAGCTAGTACAGAAGAACAGGTCACACAATTCCCCTGGCCCCTCACATACTGCACAACGAGCCTCCTCTGTAGTCAGAAGGGACAGAGAACACAGATCAGCTATGTATTCTTTACAGGACTTAGCACAGTACTGTCTACATAACAGACATTCCATGGACCAAAATGAACAAATAAATACTTACTAAGTGTCTGCCTAATATATGCTAGGCATTATTCTACACACTGCAGACACCATGCTAATAAACAAGATAGGCAAAGCCCCTGCACTTTCAAAGTTCACACCTATTTTAGTGAGGCTGACAGTAAAAAATTACAGACTTCGATGAGTGCTCTGCAGAGTAAAAAACCCCAGGCACACTTGGCCCCTCGTCTGCCCAATGTCCAAAGCACAGGACTTCTCACCCAGATGTGCGGCACCCTCGCTGTGCTCCGGGCATAGCAGCTGCAGTGTTTTCATGGATAAGAAGGAACCGCTGGCAGTTGCACAGGGGAAGTGGTAAAGCCGTGGACATCCAGGTGAGCGGCAAGGGATGGAGGCACCAAGCCTGGTGCAGTGGGAGCAGCGCTGCCAGGGTGGAGACAAAGCCTCAATGCCAGCCGGCTTCACCCCAGAGCAACCGCTCAGCCACTAGCTCTGCCCTAGTATGCCCACTATCCTTCTCCTTCTACCCTGACTCTCAGAACCCCACCAGCCCTGCCCACCCTGCCCTTTGCCTATGCAACCCCCTGGCCCCAGCCCCACCTGTGAGATCCCTGAGAAGATGGCCTTGTCCACACCACATAGTTCTGGGCCTTCCTGCCCCCATACGCCAGCCGACCACGCAGCACACCAATGGTGAGCCCAGCAGGACCCTGGATGTGTGGAAAAGGGCAAACAGAAAGGAAAGAATTAATAAAAAGGTGATCATTGGCTCAGGACAACCTAGCCCATACCCTCTTTCCTGCCCAGGTCAGTTACCCCACCTCCCCTCACTTACCTCCAGGTTCTCCTAGGTGGGCAGGTGTCAGGCCCTCAGGGAAACCAATCTGTGATAGGTCCTCACTGGGCAGTGCTGCCTCATTGGGCCCTGGGTTCCCCCCAGGGGACACCACTGGACACCGGGGCCAGTCAAATGGCAACTCAAAGCGCCGTAGCTCCCGCTGCCCATGCAGACTGGGCTCCCCGCAGTTACAGAGAGCACAACGCCGCACTGGACCCCCACTGTGGACACACAAGCGTCAGCACCATGCCAGATCCCTGCCCACAGGCACCCCTGACAACCCCACGATTTAACACGCCTATGATTCCCAAACATTCAATGTTCCTAAATACTCCTTCTTGAAAGTCCCAGACTCTCAAATCAAATACTCATGTGCCCTTATATCCTCATTTCCCCAAACTAGTTACCTGCAGTCCTGGGGAGGCTCCTGAAGCCTGGGACCCCCAGAACTGGGCACAGAGACCTCCACCACATGTGGGTTGGGAAGGTCTGCCTCAGTGGCGCCTGACTCCTCAGAGGCTGCAAGTCCATCAGCTGAATGAACAAACAAACAGAGAAGCACTGATCAGCCATCATCCACTACTTAATACCAGTCCACTCATCAGATCCATGAGATTATCTAAAATCCTTGGTGGATCACCGTGATGTCGCTTTGACTTTTGTCCCAAAGAACAAAGTCCTTCAATTACCTGTCTATTAGACAGACTTAGCTCCTGTCCTTGTGCCAGGACCAGAAATCTAAGGTTGTCTGAGATGAGCAGAAAGCTGCCAGCAAACCCAGAATTTGCCCTACTCACCTGCCGGTTCTGAATCTTTATCCTCACCAGGCGGCTTCTGGCTGTCCATCCCTCTCTCCGACTGGGCAGGGCCCTCTCGGGGAGACCTGTCAGAGCCAAAAAACATATCTATATGCCTAGTATGTCTTTCCACTAAACACTTTCCCCAGAACCCTAGGAGAAAAGCAGCAGCTAATGGTACTTAAACCCTACAGAAATCAGAACAAAGCCATACCTACAAACTCCTGTACTAATGACCCCAAAAAAAAAAAAAAAAAAAAAAGCCTTCTCCCTAACGTTTATCTTACTGCCTACTTCCTCCCCAGATAAACACAGACCCTCTTCTCCAACTTGGGATTTTCAGAGGATCCCCTCCCTTCTCCCACTTCGTTACTCCTGTCTAGAGTTCCCAGGGCAACTGTATCCAACTAGAAGAACATCCAGTCTACATCTAGTCCCGCCCTTTGCCTCACGTCTGAGTTCTGGGCTTCTGATGGGCCCTATCCCTGTCCTTCTTCCTCAGGTCTCAAGTCAGCTATCATCCTAGAGGTCTGTCAGTGCCAACCCATGGACAATCATAACCCAGGAAGTCTGAGTACAGCTGAAATTTCTCTCCCAGAGATGGAGTCAGGGGTCTTGGAGGATGTAGAACACATTACTGAAACTAAAGTCCAGATATGGATGGATCTTCCCAACCTCCACTGTTTTCAACCATGATATCCCAATCACAACATAAGAAACTCCCCAATTTCTACCCCCTGCCTATCCAAATCCAGCTCAGGCCCAACTCCCTGGCCACTGCAGTGACTGAACTCAGGATCTCACTCAGCCTGAAGTCCTCAGGTCGTTGCCCTCAGCAACGCCAACTGTCCTTACTCCTCAGATATCCCTAGTAGTTAACAGAAGTGGGCCTTAAGAGTTACTGAGCATGTGTAGCCAGGCCTGAAGCTAGGCATGCTGGGAGTTGTAGTCTCAGGAAGCACACTGCCACTTGGAGGAGTTCTAAACAGGGCAGGACACAGGCGAGCAGAAGAGCTTCCTTCCTCTTCCGTCAAACAGGGTTTCCACACGCACTATGGGGGTTGGGGGGGGGGTAACGGTCTCCTCTTCTAAAATATGCCTGCCTATACCAGCACCAAATATAACACACTAAAGTAATACCTAAGATGGTTGAGATCCACACCTTTGGGCGTATTTTCCTAAGCCTCAGAGGCAACTAAGCATAGTCCAAAAAAGAGAGAAGTAAAGAATAAGAAAAATTATAGAGGTGAAGAAGAGAAAAGAAATTCTACAGAAGGGAAAGGAATAGGTGCCAGCAGCTCTTAGAGGGAAACGTAGGGGCTTAAGCAAAGAAAGAGAAGTACAGTGTTCCCAGAAAAGGGGGGATGTGGGAAAGCCCGAAAACAGAACTTTAAATACATTTTCAGAAGTTTATCTCTCACCTTTTCCACTCCTTTTGTTTAACTCGAGGGACCACACAAAAATCTGAGCAAGGACAAGTCTTTCTTCTCAAAGCAACTACCAAATAAACTTGTCAGCTACTTGGGCTTGAATGACTGGGGCAGATGAAACAGGGGGAACCCTCAAAGGTGCCCAGGATCAATAAATCAATTACTTAAGAACCACAATATCAGTTCTCCTTCCCTGAACTCACATTCTATTTTCAGAGATTGGTAATGAGCCTCCTGTGACATGCCACGGGAAAGAAAATTTTATTTCACTCCCCCCTGAACACACACTAACAGAATCTACTAGATTAGGAAACTGAAGTATCACTTGACACCTGTTACCTCCATTCCCAGATCATCTCTTTCCAAAACCTACCATACAATCACCCCTGAGAGGAAAGCAGGGTGGTCACCTGGCGGGCCCATGGAAAACCTGCTATGGAACTTCAAGGGGCCCTTAGAAGCCACTTACGGGAAGCAAGAGCTGGAGGTCAGGGCACTAGCCAGGCCCCTCTTTCTATTCAGTCATTCAAGGTTGGACCACACCCAAAAGCCTTCAAAGTTTTCTAAACCTGTGCATCTAACTGTGTGCCCCTAAAGATCCTCCACTCACTCTGTTCTCAAAGTTGAGTCCAGAGGATTCACAAACAGTAAGAAATAAAAAGTAACAGTGATAATACAGTGGGTGGGAGGAGGGCTGTCTCACACAAAGCCAGAGGGACAAATTCCTCGGCCCTCCCCCGAGCACAGCCCTCTCAAACTGGTAAGCTCAAGGAGGTACAGAAGCTACCTTTATCCAGCCTTGAGAAACAGAGTACCAACATCCTCCAAAGCTGGAGCCTAACTCATGGAGCCATGGAAAATGAGAGATCAAGAAGTGAGAAGAATGTCCTCCACGCTGTACCAAAAAGAATCTAAGGGCACCTCCAAAAAGCCTGAGCCCCATTTCCCTACCCCTGAAGTCTAGCACTGGACCCCGATGCTGAGTCCTGGCTATCAGGCCTCTGAACAGATCTAAACAAATAAAGACCACAGGTTCCCTGTCCAATCATTCACAGCCAGAAAACACACACACACACACCACCACCACCACCACCACCACCACCACACCCACCCACCCACCCACCCACCGGTTTTTTCCCTAGTTCTAAACTGGGCTAATGCCTGGCCAGGCTTCCTCTGGGGAACTAGAGATCCCCAAGAAGTACAGATCTAGGGAGTAAAACTGTGTTGGCTCCTCTTAGTCCTGGGCCTAAGAAGCCCAAAACAGCAAGGAAGAAGGCAGGGAAGCACACTCTCCTCCGTGCCTCTATGTCAGACCAAAAGCTTTAACTCCATTTTCCCAGCCAAAGGGGAAATGGAGACTTGGAGAGGTGAAAGGCTGAAGGAGGTTCTTGAGTGAACAGCTCTTCTGTAGGACTCAGGACTTCCTGGTTCCCAACCTGAGAATCAAACCACACCTCTCCCCACCCCCATTTTGGGCTGGCCCTCCAGAAAAAATTCAAATGGCAACACACGGGCCCTGTAGACCCTCCGGATTGTGCCTGGGTCATCCTGGGGTAAACCGCAACTAACAATGAGAGGCTCCTCCTAAGGAAGTTCCTTGGGGACAGACAACAGGAGGAGCCCTTCACAGGAGGCAAGGGAAGACAGCATGGGTGACAGCTAGCCACACTCTACCACCCCTGTGCCACCTCGCACCTTGGGGTTACTACTAAGAAAGCTTTCAAGGGCAAAGCCCCTATTTTCCCCTTTCCAAGACCAGGCTGAAAGAGATCTGGCTCATGTATGTATGTTGCAGGGGGTGGAGTGAGGAAGCAAAACAGACCAGCAAAATCCCTGCTGGGCAGCATGACAGCTGGGAGAGGGCTTGTCCTAGCCCAGAGCCCATAGGTGTAAGGCTCATGCTGCACCCTTCATATACTCACATGTACACCCCTTCTCCCCAACACCTCCAGCCAGGGCTGGAGACACTAGCTTCTGCAGAAATAGCTCTGATCAGGTCGTTTCTCCCCCAAAGAGGCACAGGCTACACTATTCTATAGGGTTGGGACAGGATCAGAGGGCCAGTTAACATTGCTTGATCAAAAAGGGTTGGAGAGGTCAGGAGGGGCCTGCAGGATTGGCCAAGGACTTATGGGCAACTCGCTCACCACACTAGGCCTACAAGAAGCAGGAGACAAAAGCCATTTTTTTGCAGCCCACATTCGCAGGGAGCAAATCTCAACTGCCTCCTCTATAATCCCCTGGAGATTATGTCCATCCTGAGAGGAGGGGAGGCAAAGCAGGCTAAGACAGCACTAGGCCTTGCTGCGGTCACTTTGCCAGGCAGAGGTAGTTTAAAGTTGAACAGCAAGGCCAGGGCTGCCCTCGGCCCCACCTCCTTCTTGCCCCAGCCACCCCCTTAATCACATTAGTTAGTTCTCACATCTCCCCTGTGCACAGTGAAATAAGGCCTGGTGAAGGATGGAGGGTTCCTTGAATCTCCCTGAGATAGCTCTGGGTGCCCCGATGGGCAAGACCACCTTAAAGTCCAACCTGGTAGAAAGTCTGACCTGGCAGTGGTACCCTACCCACCCTCCCAAGTTGTCCTGTTCCCAAGGCCCACAAGGAACCCTGACGGAGAGGCAGCCTACTGGAATTGGTGCTGGCATCAGGGCCTGGGTCCTACTTTAGTAGAGCTCCCCCCAACATAAAAATAAACAGGCAGAGAGGCGATCTGGCCAGGTTCCCAAACTCCCGTGGTTCCCTGAACCCCCAGTCTTTAAAGAGGCACACCCCAAGATACCAGGCCTCAGTTCTGCTCCAGCCACTGGCTCATGTTCCCTTGACAGACCCTGCCAAAAGAACCCTCCTCAGCCCTGGCACCCCTTTCTCCAACCTAAAGGCTTGCTGCGGCCAAGATAGTCCATCTGGCTATGCCCCCAGTCCAACCCTTTCTGGGCCTTGGCCGGTCGGACTTCACTCACCTCTTCACAGGGCGATCCAGAAATCCTCATCCGAGAACATGGCCAGAGCCCGGGCCGCTCCCCGACCTCCAACCGCCAGAGCGATCACAGCCGCCCCCCGCACGGGGGGGCTTAAGGGGGCCAAGAACGGTAAATCCAGGTCGGAGTGGCCACCCTCCCCTCCAAAAAAAGCAAGAAGCCAAAGAGGGGTTCTATGCTTCAGGTTCCAGCAGTTTAGGTTTCCATGGACAGCCCGAGGGCGGCGAATCTCGAGCGGACACAAAGAGAGCACCGGTGGCTTTGATCTTGGGCGAGCAGGCTCCGCATCCGCGTCGTCGGGCGGCCTCTCAGTCCTAGGGCCAAGCCGCCCGCGCTGGGCTCGGGCGGAACGTCGAGGTTCTCCAGATGGAACGTCGAGGCGCCTCCCCAGCAGCCCGGAAGGAATGCCGCGCCGCCCCGCGCCGGGCCCGGATGGAACGTGAGACCCTCGCAGGAGCACCGAGCCCCTCTCCCCGCCCGGGCCGGCGCCCCGGGGCCGCGCGAGCTACGACGACGCGGAGACGGCGGGGCCGCAGGGCTGAACCTGACACACACCCAGCGCCGGGCTCCTCGACCCCGAGCGCTCGCCCTCGGCGGCTTCGAGCCCCCCACCTTCTGCTCCCCCCGGGGAAGGGAGGAGGGTAGGTGGGCGAGGAAGAGGAAGGGGCGGGCGGTGCGAGCCCTCTGCCCGCTCTCCTCCGGCCGCTCCAGGCCCTGCGCTCGCCTCCCTTCCCCTCTGGCCTCCGGAGCTGCCCCGCCCCCGGCTTGGCCGGCTCTGATCGGCGGCACCCCTTCGACCCCCGGCTGGTTGTGATCGCGGGGGGCCTAGAGGTGCATGGCCCAACCCCAGCTCCCGGCGCCGGGGGGTCAGGAAACTGAGCGGAAAGTGGGGAACGAGGCAGCCATTTGCAACCGGAGAGGAAAGTAGTGCAGCGCGGCGCCGCTCCGCCTCCCCCCCTCCGCCTCCTGTTCGGCCGGTAGGGTGGTTCCTGCGAAGGGGCTATTTCCTGGCCCGAGATCTCGGCAGCGGTCGTGGAGATTCAGGAAACCTCCGTTGCGAGACTCGGCGGGGACCTTTTGCCTGGGGAACCCCACTCGAGAAGGGGAGAAAAGAGAAGGCTGGTCCTATTTTGTGTTGGAGCGGAGCGGCGGAGGGATACTGCCCTCTCGGAGGAAAGGCTGTGACTCTGCAGTTCTACGCACACGCTGAGGGATCCCTCCGCCAGGCGTTAACCCCGACGGCGCCGGGCCGGCGACGGGCAGACACGTGGGAATGAAGCCCCCCTACTCTTCGCCCAGGTCCTGGAACTGCCTCCTTCAACGTCCAGCTCAGGAAACTAAGACTTTGGCCACTTCATAATTCCGTTCTCTTAGAGTTATAGGTCCCTGAAACTGAAACTGCCTCCTTGACTGTATCAGGGGCAATCTTTCCCGGGAGGGGGATGGAAGAAGAGCCAGGAGATTGGCCGCTGCTCTGCATCCTGGGAACTGGAGTCCTCAAATGGAGAAAGTGAGGCACGGCGTCTGGCGCTGCAAAGGGTGGGTTCTTGCCACGTTCGGGCCCCGAAGAAAAGCGGAACGAGTCGTTGCTTCGGACTTTCACACCCCCTCATGAAGGAAAAGGACTGCTGGTGACTGCCCACCAAATTAACACACACACAGCCCCTATCAAAACATAAATGTAGTTTTCCTTCCTTTCCCAGGTGCCCCTACCCCCAGTCTTTCTCTTCGTATCTTCAGGGCCTGTGTCTCCTTTTTCAGTAAACGGGCTGTACCTTGGAGCCTAGCTGCTACCTGGCTGGAGTACTGTTAACTCTAGACAAGATCCCAAACGCTCTGCTAGCTAACTGCCGCCGCCCCCCCCCCACCCCGACCCCGGCCCCCGCCCCCGCCATAAGTCTGGATGAGGAATGGAGTGGCTTTTCTGTCTTAGCTCTACCCAAGGGATCGTCAGGAGGAGACAAATTAACTATGTGCCAGATACTTTATATATTCTCAGTTATTCCTCACCCTTGTTATGCATTAAGTGGAATTATGTCTGTATTACAAATAACGAGATTGAGGCTAAAATGGGTAAAACTGTCCAACGAACCACATCTAATGAGAAGTAGAGCCACGATTCAACCAATGGCCGTGTTTTTTTTTCCTAGGATGGAGATTTTACACACACACACACACACACACACACACACACATTCACACACACACTTTTTTTTGTTGGTGGGGAAGATGTGGAGGGAGGCAGGCAAATCAGGTGCGGGGCCAATTTTGTGGGAAAGGATTTACAGTGCTATGGAAAAGACTTTTCTGCAATGATGGCAATGCACTATAACTACACTATCTAATATGCACTGTATCTACCCTGTATAATATAACTTGGCCACATGTAGCTATTGAGCACTTTGAAATGTAGGTGATTCAAGTGAGGAACTTTTAATTTTATTTCATTTTAATACTGAATTAAACTTAAATAGCCATGTGTGACTTGTGGCTTCCATATTGGACAGTGCAGGAGATCTAAAACCCTACTCGCCAGTCATTGGAGGGATCAGAACTATACCTGTGCCAGCCACACACTGATACCGTGCCCTGCACTGACCGTTCAGGTCTATTTCAGCAAAAAATTCAGCAGTGACCCCACACCTGTCCCAGCTATAGTGGAATTAATAAATCAAGAGACAGAAGTTAGAAAATGGAAGGCCCCTCCCTACTATCTGCACCCAAAAGCAGGGAGGCAGGCTCTCACCAGAAAGACCTCCAATAACACAGTATCATTTCTTAAGTGTTTATTATGTATGAGAAACTGTGCTAAGTATTCCGTATATCACCTCAGTTTAATTCTCACCTCAACCCTATGTGGGTTTAACTATACTTCATAAATGAGAATCTGAGGCCCAAAGAGGTTAGCACAAGACTACACAGCTAAGTGGAAGAGTAATCCAGCCATTCACCACTATTCTTTACTATGATCAGGCCTTAAGACTGCTTGATACACTTCTGGAAAATCTCAGGCATTTGTAAGTCTATACCAAAACTCATGGAACAGCAGCAGGAGGGTAGGTAGCTGTAATGAGTATTCTGGGTGAGATGTGCAAAAAGACCTAATTTAAGGAGAAAGGTGATAACCCTAAAGAGATTCCTAAGTCACTAAGACTGCTGTTTTCAGTATGCTTCTTCCAGCAGCCCTTATTTCTTTTTAGATTTTGGATCAGAGATGCCAAAGCAGTAGGCAGGACTTCTGAAAACCAGGAGGACAAACCATTATCTCCAACTGTAAGCCCAACTAGCTTGGAGCCAGGTACTAGCAAGGTCACAGCTAAAAATCAAACCAAGATTTTGTCCATCCTCCCCAACTAAGAATACCTTAATCCACCCAGTAGGCAGAAGTCTATGCCCTCCCCGTGAAGGATACCATTTAAGTAACTCCTCAGAAGGTATTGGTCAATGAGATCCTAGGAGGGGTGGGAATTGGGGGATGGGCACAGAAACTAGAGGTATATAGGACCAAACCTTCCTAGCAGAAATATATCCATCTTTCTACTGAGGTAATGTAGTGGGTCATTAAGGGCAGAAGCTATAACCTTGACACCTGAAAAAGGGAGCACAACTCCAAAGGTGTGAAAGCTATCAAAAGGTCACCAAAGGTGTGAAAATAACATAGAAAATCTATTTTAATGAAAGGCACTGGGGAACATGGGGCACAGGGGACTAATAATACACACCAGGGGCATTATTTATTATTTAACTCTCTGAGAAAGACAAAATCTTCACAACAGTTTAGTCATGCTCCTCAATTCTTACATCATTAGGAATGAGGGACTTCCTTCCTCTTCCCCAAATCCTACTCTGAGTTCCAGCAAATGCCAAAGCCCAGGAGAGAAGCTAGGTCAGCATGTGGCAGCTGGCCACTAGAGGGTGGTGTTTCTGTAGTAAACAGGCTCTTGAGAGCCTACAAACTTGGATGGGAGTGGCAGCCAACTGGTACCTGTATGGGGAGAACCCAGTAGAAGTGAAAGCTGGAAAAGTCCTGTAGTAAGTGTTAGGGTAATGGTCCTGAATGAGTGAGTAGGGAATTGGAATGAGGTAGGAGGAAAGAAATTAACCCTGATTCCCCACCCAAGACTATAGTCATCAACCCTTGGCAAAGGAGACATTGGCCCCGAGTTCTTCCCATATACAGAGAAGTCAACGACAAAAAGATTTCTGTTTATTTGAATATATACATTGTCACCCCAGGGAGCCAGCTCCACTTCTGGAGGCCCCAGCTCCCTTCACCCAGACATTATCCAAAACCTACATGGGAGACTGGGTCCTGAATAAACAGTACCCAGGACTCACATCGCAACCCTGCAGGTTATGAGAATTCATTGAGCAAAAACAGAGGCCAGTGCCCATAAGACATCCTTGCCCCTTTTGTAAACATTGACAACCAGGCCACTGGAGCCTGGGGAAAGTGTGCAAACATGAGGGTACCATACTGTGTGCCCAGAGGACCAGGGACACAGCTGGCAACCATACCCGTGAAGTCCTGAGAACCTGCCCCAACTGGAGTCTGGCAAGTGCCAGCGAAAGAATCAAGGCAGCTACCCCATGCCTGAGGGCTCACATGAGACTGCAGCGGCGCTCTTGCCCATAGGAATTCTCCACACGGGCAATCTCCTGGATGACTTTGGTGAAGATGCCTTGAGTCAACTGCACGGGATAGAGATTCAGGGCAAAAAGGTGAGTTAGTTTACTGCCAATACCACCATCCAGCTCTGAGGTGAACACCCCACTTGTTCACCATCCGCACCACTAAGCAATTCCATAAGAAAAATACTGCCAACCCCGCCCATCTTCCTAATCTTCAGGCCCAGCACCTGACTTTCTCGAGCAGATGACTCCATAAATGTCGCACCCCAGGATTCTGCCAGCTTCTTCCCTTCAATTGCCTGGACCTCCCTAGAAGCAAATTTGGGATATGAAGATGGAGAATAGTAATATCCTCATGTTCTCTGCAAAATCTTTATAGAATCTAGATTTCTTCTAACCCATCCCACTTTCAAGGTTTAGATGGAGGGTTGGGGAAAGAGGAAATATAAGTAAAACAAAAGAAGCCTGGAACTGAGGCTTGAAATATGAAATTACAGTTTTGCAACAAAAGGGTTATTTTGTTTTAACCTTCAAGTTAGAAACAAAAAGAGGTGAAATGATTTGTTCAGGTCAGTGGCAGAGCCAGGACCAGAGCATGACTGATTCCTAGTCCAGCTCACTTTGCTTTGCCTTGAGCTGCAGAGATTTCCATACCTCTCTGGAGAGAGATCTGCCTTGTTTCCCACTAGCACCACCGGCAGCCTATGAGGAAACAGCAGTTACTACAGGATCCCCTGCAACTGCCCATGGACCCCAACATTCTTCACATCAGGGCTGGAAAATTCCCTATCAAACCAGGCAGATCTATATCCTGGCCTCCTCCCTAACTAAAGCCAATATTCCTCTCTGCTATCTCCCGTGCTATAGTGTCCACACTTATGTCTCTATCCTCTAGGCTTACTTACCGGGTTTTCCCATGGCCTTCATGTAGTTTTTGGTACAGACTCTCAATGACTTGGAAGCTTTAAACACAAGAAATGGAGCTATAACCTTATTTTGGGACAGCCCTCAGATCCTCCCAAGTCCCCCACTTACAACTTTGGTCACTTACCTATGCAGAGAGGTGACAGAATAAACAAGCACATAACCATGGACCCCAATGATGAATGAATAGGGAAGAATGCTGTACTCATCCTGACAAGAAATAGAAACATCAATACCTAGATTCATAACACTCATATGTCAAAGGTTGGTGGGCTGCATCCTGGGTACCCTCCCTAGGGCAGTCCCTATTCCAGTCACTTTTATTCAACAAGTATTTATAGAGTAGCTCCAATGAGTGCTAGACATTACTATATGCTAAAATATTTTTCTTTTAATACTATTTTACAGATGAGCCACAGAAGCTACGAGACTTTATCTCCCAGGACTGAACTGTCACATTTAGATACTCTGTCCCAATCTAGTACCTGCCCTGCTGTGTCCACCAGGTGTAGGTGAAATTCATCTTTTCCAAGAGTCACTATCTTGCTGTAAGCTGAAAAGAAAAGAAAATTTGACTGTGAGTGCCTTGTAAGGCTAGCGACATGTGGCCCAATACATTTTTTAACCCTAGGGGAGAGAGACATAGGTGGACCAGGTCCAGGAAACTCTCCAGGAAACTGGAGAGACAATGTTAAGGTTCTTATTGTCTACATCTTCACCATCCTGGACTCAGTATCCTCCATAATCCACACTCCAGCGCCACTCACAGAACAGGATTGCTAGAGAAGAGTTTAGATTTGATGTCTAATTAAATAATCTAATTAAATTATTCCTTGGCATCAGGGAAATCCCACATTATGGAGGTGTGTAGGGCACCCAAGCCCTCCCTGACCCATCCCTAGGGAGAAGTCCACTCACTATTCTCCACTGTAGGATCATAGCCTTCCAAGAACTCGCCCTCCACAAATTGATGTGCCAAAGATGTCTTCCCTGTGGGAAGCAGTGGTAGTTGTATCTAAATCAGCTATCCACATTTACACTCTGTCCTTTTGGGCTGTGGCCCAGGAGTAAAGGGGACCCCAAATTAGCACCCTAGCTTGTTAGTGCCCCATGAGATGTTTTCCCTTAGCCTACCCTCGCCCTCTTTTCGCCCTGGGTCTCTGCACCTTGGTCACCAAATGCTTTCAGTAGCCCCGCAGGAAGCCTTTCCCGCCGCCTTTCCCCACTCACTCCTGGAATGATTAGAGATTCCCTAGGATAAAGTCTGCTCCACACCCGGACACCTGCGACTTGCCCAACGCAGACCGCGCCCTATCATCAACCGTTGACCCCACCCCTACCGCCCAGAGTAACACTGGAAACCACTCTGGCGTTCCAGGCAGCTAAGTCCACTTTAAGCCTTACATATTCTGCTTCCTGCAGCCCTCCGCACACTATCACCACCCCAGGCTTTCTTCCAACATCCTTTCAATCCTCGTTCTACATCCCCATTCTAACGATGCCACCATTCCGCCCGGGTCGCGTTCCCGCGGCAGCGCGCCTCCTCTGGCCACAAAGCGGCGGTGCGTCCATGCTCTCCCCAGGGCGGAGACTCACCTACAGAGCGGTACCCGAGGATGACCACCTTCCTGTAGCGGACTAGCGGCATGGCAGGAGCCGGCCCCGAAGGGCTTGCAGAACTGCGGGCTGAGAAAGCCCTAAGAAGAGGAAGTCACAGTGCAGACAGGTGCAGCAACGGACACAAAAAAGCGCTCACCCCAAACTGCCAGGGCAAGCTAGAGAGAAACCAAAACAAGCGCCGCGCCCGCAGCTCGCCACGTGATCACAACACAGCAAGTCTAAAGCAAGGGAGCGGCGCGCTGGAGGAACTACAGAGCCGCGCCGCTGCGGGCTCCGCCCCCCAGGCCGTTCGCCATTGGTCTATTAGAAAGGATCGGGGCCGGGCCAACAGCAGGAAGAAAGGGTGGGCCTCACGTGTAGCGGGAGAACCAGAAGCTGCTCATGCGCAGACTAGAGCCGGTTCATTCATAAAGAAACAGAAAGGAACCCGGGGTCCTAGAGGTGTTTGCACATTGCAACCCAGCAGAAGTGGCTGCAGAAAATCGTTGATAAAAAATACCCATTGTGTCTGATCTGGAATTTCTGATCATAAAATTTTAGGCCTCCCTTCTCCAAGGTCTCTGGGGTCCTTAGGTAGGGGGGAAAAAAGGCCAAATTTCTAATGCATTCCCAACGCTTTCCTGAGCCTTCAGCCCCAGATCTTTACTGTGATGCTTCCACAGTCTTCCAGGATCTAACTTCAGAACTGCAATTATTATTCTTTGGAAAATTATTAGAATTTGTGGCCAGGACGTCTGAGGTTTCCTTTTCAACATCATCATAATCAACATATTTATTTATTCAACGAAGAGTTATTAAGGGTATACTTTATGTTCCAGGCATTACTCTAGTTTTGAGGATAGAGTGATCAACATGACAAACAAGGTCTCTGAATTCATGAAACTTAAAACCTATTTGGGATGAGACAAACATACAAACAAGGAAATATTAGGTAGTATTAGGTGCTGTAAAAGGTGGCGTTATAAGAAATGACCATTTTATGTCCTGGCAGGGTAGTTCAGTTGATTAGAGTGTTGTCCCAAAATGCCAAAGCTGTGTTGGATCTCAGGTCAGGGAACATACAAGAATCAACCAATGAATGCATAACTAAGGGGAACAACAAATCTCTCCCCCCAACTTTCCTTCCTCTCTCTAATCAAAAAATTAAATTAAATTAAAAAAGAAATCACCATTTTAGACTAGTGATACTTCCTCTCAAAGGAAGTCCTGTTTAGACTCAGGTCTGAATGATAACAAGGAGCCAACCAGCACACAATTCCCACAGAAGAATCCATCAGTGTCAGTGTTGTGGTGTGAAAATGAAAATACATTTTTTTAAATTCCAGAAGAGAGGCAGGCACACAGACAGACAGACAGACAGACCAGTGAGCCTAAAGCAGATGAAGCCTGCTTTTGGCAGGGACCAGGCCATGTAAAAGGAGTTTGGGCTAATTCTGGTATCTAGAAAGCTGTCGATGATATTTAAGTTGGAGCAAGACATAATCTGAATTGTTTCTTAAAACGTCCCTCACTGTGGAGAGTGGATTAAAGTTTGAAGGGGACAGGAGCAAGTGGGGAGGCAAGGAGATCAGCTGAAGACTGTTACTTGTAGTCCAAATGAAAGGTGAAGGTGGCTTGACTGGAGTGGTAGAGATGAATGAAGTAAGAATTTAGGATATGTTTTGAGGTTGAGGTAAAGCTGACTTGCTGAAGGATTGGGTAGAAGAGGTGAGGGAAAGAAAACAGGTGCATTTCATTGTTATCTCATTTAATATTCACAAAAGCCCTAAGGTTGATAATTGGAATTTTTCATTCATTGATGAACTAATACTTAATCAAACAACCACCATGTCCCAGGCACCCTTCTAGGTTCTGGGAAAAGAGCGAGGAAAACAGAAACAAGTTCTTTGCTCTATAAGGAGCAAGTACTTTTTTGGGAGAAGACCAACAATCTACAAATAAACAATAAATAAGATACAACAAAAAAGTTATAACTGCAATGGGAAAAAACAAGATATTAATGGGCTAAAGAGTAAGTTGGGGTGTGACACTCCTCTTTTTTTATGTGATATCCTAGAAAGCCTGAGAAGGCAACATTTGTACGTGAGGCTTGAATGATGGTTAGCTCTTACCTTACAAATGTGGAAACTGAGAGTCATACAGGCAGCACACAGAAGTTATTTCTTCTGGAAAGCCCTGGTGAAGTGGGTATTTAGGAATTGAATTATACTGAAGGACAAGCTTTGTAAAACTATAGAACCACCTAATGCTTTAAAAATCCAGATCTATGAAAGCTGTTTCAAAGAGCCATTTCTTAATCTGGCCTCAGGAAGAAACCCAAGAAATACATTTTCTACTGAGTAAAGGAAATTCCTTGCAAATTAGCAATTTTGTTGGATAACTGGGCCTCAGTAAGGTTGGTGGTGATTCTAATTCAGTCTTAAGCACTGTAAAATAGAACAAAGAACTGGATTCAATTAAATTCAATAAAAATGTATTCATCTTCTTCTTTGTTATCAGGCACTTATTGTGCGTTGCATAGCAAGGATATAAAGATATATAAGAGATGCCTTATATACTGTTTGTCTTTCTACTCTTTTCCAGCCAGATTTGTGTCCAAGGGGCAGACGTTGCCCCCTAAATCCCAGTGGGGTTCAATCAAAGAGGAGCACTCACGGGAGACCAAATGGAGGGAGGACAGTGTCTACATCCCCCACTGAAGGTCACAGCACTTCTTAAGGCATGTTCCCCACCCCACACACATCTCTTTTGTTCAGTTTCTAGTAACTCCCTCAAGCCTGCCATGGTAACAGCCTTTCTGATACTCATCCTGGGGTACTGTTCTACCCTTTGTGGTTTCTCTACACCCTGCTCACATACTTGTAAATAGTCTCTTTATCAGATCATCCTCAAATTCTCTTGTTTTCAATCAGGAAGAAAACAAAAGGGCTAAGACAAAGGTCTTTTTCCTCTTGTGGCTTTCTATATAAGAGAAGACCTCAGCTGATTTTCAGCTACAACTCCTTGAACAAAACTGTATCATGTGGTCATTTCTAGCAGAAAGGGAGCCTGCAAATTTTAGCATTTTGTTTTCTACCCTTTATAGTGAAGGAAGGGGAAAAAAGGAGACTAGGAATAAATGTTTAATGAACCACTCTACAATCTCAGGACCAAGATATTTGTTTATTAAATATCAATCACCTAAAAAAGTAATGCCTAAATGGTTACTTTTTAAAGATCAAAATATATAAAGATCACCAATATAGGACCAAATAAAGGAAGTATATTATCCTAACATTAGGCAAATGGGCTTGGAATAAAGTTTCTTGCAACAGCATTATATATTGTTAATGCTCAAACAACTGAGACAAAATAAGATGAAATGCTCCCAAAAAACTGTTAAGTATCTCTATGAAAAGTGAAAACATTTTTACTATTTTTGCATCAAAATTATGGGTTCCATTGCATAGGTCTTCAGGTATTCTTGGTTTTCCACAGCTTTGGTGGAGAGACCGTTATGGGTTCACTTCTCTGTTGATGTATCAGTTATTTATTGTTGCATAACAAAATATATAAAAACTTGGGGGTTTAAAACAACAGTGTCTTATTCCTCATGATTCTGTGGGTTGAACTAGGAATTTTGTTCTCTCTCCTAGACTCGCTCATGTGGCTACTAGAGGACACAGGCCCTGTTGGGTGGCTTCTCCTTCAACTACAGCAATAGTTACAGCTCTCTGTGGGTTCTTGTAACTCTTCCCTTGCCCCTTCAGGCCTAGGAGTTACCACCTCTATCAGCTCTCCACTGATGCCAGACTCAGAATGCTTTACCATTTTTGTAGATATTCCTTCACCCTGGCCACATCTTTAAGAACAGACCTTTCATTATAGTCTCCTCAGTTCCCCATTTGGGTATACAGACTCTTTCCTCCAAGGATTCTGCATGATACACTTCTGAATGTTAGAGTAAGGAAAACCATCAAGTAAAAGATTAGAAGACAAAATTTTATCGTCTCATGTCACAGTATAAATAGCTAGAAGCATAGAGTAAGCAACCTTCTTCAAAAAAGAAAAGTAAAAAAAGAAAAGAGAGAAACAGGACAAAGTTGATTGATTCTGTCTGAAAGGATCAGAGATTTCACAATGTAACTGACAATTGAGATGAGCCTTACATCTTGAGAGGACCCTAAGAGAAAAAGCAAAATGCTAAGGGAAGAGTGAAAATAGTGTATCTGGAAATAACAAGTGGACCCTGTACATGGAGCATTCTATATGTGTGGGCTGTGTGAAAATTAAGGCTGGAAACTGGGCTGGGATCAGATCAGGGATGGCTTTGAATGCCAGCTTTAAGAACTTAAGCTTTATTTCATTCCCCAAGGTTCTCAAAATACACCGCTAATGGGTATATAACATGACTTAGGTAATAAACAAACTTAAC